AATGGTCCGAAATGTACTTTCCAAATGGCCATAGCGTTCTTTACTTTACACGTTTCATTGAAGTAGACACAGTAAACCAAACATTTGTAAAATGAACGATTTTCATGATCGATATCTTTACCCAAGTAGCATTTTCACGACTTGCGACCACATGTTTACTAAACACAACGTTGGATTAGTTACAAAAAATAGTTAGCTCCCTACCTTGGGTATTGAAATAAATTTAAACGTTTTTATAACGTTGTGCCGACGTTGGACTAGTACTACAGCAAAGTAGAAGCTTCTGCGACGTCGAATAAACGTTGTCTTGTAACCTTTTTTGCTTAAGTGATCTTTAGGTGATTTGGACAACGTAGTTACAACGTTGGATAATATAGAGTTTTCCGACGTCAGTTTCAGGACCTATTCCAACGTTATGCAAACGTCGTCTGTTTTACTAATTCCAACGTTGTTTAGATTTCCTTATTCTTACGTTGGTAGGACGTAGAGTCACTACCTTTTTGCAACTGTATTGAACCATAACCTTAAATCTTAAATTTTCAATTCATTGTTCTGTTCAGTCAGACAGTTCAGTGCTGTTTTTGTTTTTATAAAAAAAAAACTTAATTAAAATGGGACATAAGAAAGGTACATATAAAACTAAATTTAAATATACATCGACATATATTACCGACACTTCCTCGTTTATTTAGATTATAGAGGGCGGCACAAGCTAGACTCTAGAATGACTAAATTAGGCAATCTTGCGACTAGTATACTACCTGTTAAGGCCGAACTGCGACTTTATTAGTCCAGTATGCGACTACTCGAACTACTCCATCTTAATCTCCAAAACAACAAAGTTAAAGCCGCCATGTTGTTAAATAAGAAAATGTTTCGTTCTTAAAATAGCAATTCCTGCTTTTTGAATACATTAACTTGAAATATTTGACCCTAAAAAATACGCGGAAACAATTTTTTCGAATGCGAATAAATTATTCTCATTTTACTAAAAAAAAAATTCAAGAAAATTTTTAAAACTTCTTTAATTTCAAGGCCCATTAGTATTTTTTAAAGTAGAAACAATACATTTATCAATAAAGTTGTTTGCGTTTAACTTTTTACCTTGGGTAACGAGTTACAGAGTCGGTTAAAGTGTTTCAATAATTATGATCTTCAAACATCCTCCACACTTAAATACTTTTGTTTTGTTTTCCTTCACTGCCATCTGACATATGTCTCTAACTAAATTATAAATATAATATTTTTACTATAATTATCCCAATTTAGGATAAAACGCGACTTAGACGCCATATTAGTTTTGTATTTCTGTGAATTAGGATTTTAAACAACGTTGCAGTTTGTACTAAATTAGGCTTCTAGCCAACGTCCGTCGGTATCCAACGTCGTTTCGACCCAAAAATTATTCTCCAAACTAGTGCAGACTAGGGTTGGCACGAGGTTGTGCCGACGTTGCGCCCCGACGTTTGGTCGCGTGACACAACGTTGTCCCGACTCCAAATGCTGCTTGGGTAGTTATCGAGTTAAAAATAAAACTTTTTTATTCTGTTATATGGAGCGATCAAGAATGATGAATTCCAATGCGATTCAATTGATGGCTATTCTGATTTTGCTCAATTCGTTGGCAATTAGTTTAAAACAGCGTCTACACTATGCGAAAAACTCTTCGAAACATGTCAAGGTCGCATTTCGTCTCCCAACTTTGACGCATTTCGATGTATTTCCAGTTGTCTTGACCTACTTCGGTTTGCTTCGACCTACTTTCGATTTTTAAAGGCGCCTGAATACTACAGAAATATATTGTAAAATATTTCGGGGTGTAACGGCTGTTTTATAATATGTAGCCCGTTTAAAACTAATCAAAACTACATGAAAAACAAAACGGTTTTAATCTCTGACATTTTTCTAATTTAATTATTGAATAAGTGTATTAATGGCCCCTTCTTTGGCGAATCCGTCTGCTTCCTGATTGCCCACCACATTGATGTGGCCTGGCACCCAGCACAGAGAATTTAAGGTACATAATATTTTTGCTAAAGAATTCGTCCTTTCCAGCGAAAAGTCTATGTCTCGACTTGTCCGGTTGGCAGGAATTTGCTTCAGCTCTAAAATAACTATGTTGGCTATAATAGACAATTTAAATTTACCATCGTCAACAGCATGGTACATGGCGTCAGTATTTATAGTACACCCCAGTATTTATAGTGCAGTGTCTAGTAATCTAGAGAAAAGTTTGCCGTTGCGCCCTCTAGCTGCTATATTCTACAAACTTGAAAGCAATTTCCAAATTGCTGGAAATTTTGCTTTTTAGTTTAGTATAGTGATGGGTTGTTATTTAACTATCTGTTATTTTATAACAATTATTTATAAATAACATAACGCAACCGTTACTACTTCTAAAAAATAACAGATATAAAATAACGATACGTAGAGATCGGCCGCTCGCGATACGAAAAACGAAGCCGGCGCTCTGCATCACCACGAAATTCTATGCTGCTCGAAGCAATTCCAAAAAACAACTAGTATGGATGACATGTTATTTCGTCAACCATCGATACAGACGGCGAGACAACGGAGTGGGGAAAGCGCTACCAGGCGCTACGGCGAACGTAGCTGCTTCGGTCGATACCGTCGATTGTCGTATTTACAACAGCTTAAAAATAATAGGATATAAAAGAAGCAGGTTTTTTGAAACAGTTGCGGGCATAACGCCTGGCGGTGGAGATAACAGGAGTGGGAAAGGAGCGCTGCTGCATCGGTCGATTGTCGATGGAGGCTCGCAACGGGTTGGAGAAGCAGTCGTTTTAGATATGTTGTTTTTCAACCTGTTACGAGCATAACAGGGCGGCGGTCGAGATAATCGGTGTGGGAAAGAAAAGCTGCTGCATCGGTCGATTGTCGATGGAGGTTCGAAACAGGTTGGGGAATAACGCATCAGTTGTTTTAGATACATTCTGTTTCAACCTGTTACGAACATAACGGACGGAGGTCGAGATATTATGGCGCTGTATGTTTCAGTACTTACTTATTAAGTTTCAATATTTAGGTATTTATTTATTCTGAAAAATTTTCAGAATAATATTTTAAGATTTTTTAAAAATGTATACAGGGTGTTTTGAAAAATCTGGTCATTGGATGATTAATCACGATCCTGCTTAAAGCCCTTGACGTAAAAAGCTGATTTTTGGAAAACGGATTGACTTTAATGTGTAGAGGTTCGATAAGAAGGGATTTTTCGAAACTCGAATTCTAAGGGGTGAAACTACTCTCAAATATTAGAATATTTTTATTTAAAAACCGGTGAGTTTTTCGGAAAAACTCTTAAAACACGTATATTTTATTATGTTGTTTTACACATTTTAAGATTTTTTAAAAATATATACAGGGTGTTTCATAAAATATGACCATTGAGTAATCATTATTCTGCTTAAACTGCTGGACGTTTAAAGCTGTTTTTTTGCAAACGGATTGACTGTGGGGTTGAGGTTCGATAAGGAGGGGTTTTTCGAATCTCTAATTCCAACAGGGTGAAAACGCCCCTCAAATATTACAATATTTGTTATTTAAAAAACGGTTAGTCTTTCGGGAAAACGCCTGGACACATAATTTATTTTGTTTTTTTACATATTTTGATTTTAAAAATCATACAGGGCGTTCCAAAAGTTGAGCAATTGATTAACCACGATTCTGCTTAAACTGCTCGACGTTAGAAAGCTTATTTTTGGCAAATGAGAAAAATTTTATCCAGTTTGTATGTTAATGGAAATTCTTGTTTTGCTTTATCATCACCATTAGAAATTATTAATTCGACGCGAACGAAGTCGCGGGTACCCGCTAGTTTAAGTGTAAAATTAATTCGAACTCTAGTGTGTAGTTGGTTTACTTATGAAGAATATACTACACATTTTCTTATATTGCTATTTTTTGACCGCAAATGGTAAAATCATAACTAAGAGCTTCTCGCCCGTCGAGTGAGATGCACCCTGTACACTGCTACGCAATTCAGGGTCTACGCGTATCGAGGGACAGGGCGTAGGTAGATCGCAATGTGTAGGTATAGACGAGTGGCGGAATTTTGGCTTTTTTTATATCGCAATATATCGCAACAGCGCTTATTTGTAAACAACCACCGTTTTTAGAGAGGTATTTTAGATAACAATCGATATTCAGAAATGTTTTGACACCCTGGAAATACTACCACCGATCACGTCATTGTTGCAACTTGCAACTGCGTTAATACGCCTGGCGGTGACCGTCTCATACTCTTTCAGATATTTAGCAATAAAATAAAGAAACCTGTTATTTTTAAGCTGTTATTTTAAGCTGTTTTTTATAAATAACTATAACAGTTTCAACTGTTATATAAAAATAACAGTTTTGCCCATCACTAGTTTAGTATCATTTTTTTCCGTAGGTTCTACGACTAAAGTCCCATACTCACTATACGCTGATACGGTTAATTGGTTGTATGGTCAACTGGTTGATTCGGATACAATATGATCGAAAAAAAAAAACGGCGCCCAGTTGGCTTGGAAATGACAATCGATGACATTTCCCCATATAATTTTACATATAAAATGACAGCCATCTACATTACATAGCCATCGCTGACGCTGTTTTTTTCGATCATCTTGTATTTACTGATGTAACAAATAATAATAAACCTTTATCGAAGAACCAATAAAATATCTGTAAGTAAATTCATTTGTGGATAAAAAGTACTACCCAAAACAATAATTAAATGACCTACTTATACAAAGATAAAATCAGAAGAGGCGTTGCGATTTTTTATTATTATTTATGAGATTTAAATGGACAAACAACCTTCATTTATGTATATTTGAGTATATTTGCTATAAGATAAATTTACAGTATTATTGAAATCATTTCTTAATTTTCGTATCGTATTAATTTCAACAATTTTTAATGAAATGGCACTTAATGTCCTTGGTATGTATTGATAACGTACGCACAACGATTTTAATAGTAATTTTGATTGAAATAAGTTATTTTGATAATTGCGATGTGCGTGGCGTTGTAGGAAACAATTCTGTTTTGTTTATTGAAGCAATAATGCTCTGTATTTCTGTACTTTGTCCCATTGCGGCTGCTTTTATATTAGTTTTACTGACACCATTATTTAACTGGTACATAAGTGTTTATAAAAATAAGAGTTTAAAAAATATACCTGGTCCGAAGCCATATCCAATAATAGGAAATTCAAATCTGTTAGGAAAGACTCCAAGTGGTAAGTAAGAAAGTATGTTATATCCAATGCGATGATGAACTATAAATTTATTTAACCCATAGACTTAAAATAAAATATAGACTGAGCATCTCATTCATAAATAGCTGGAACATGCGGTCAGACAATGTCTTGTTATTGTTATGTTATTGTTTTGGGTTATAACGAGTGCGACACGAGCGATAGATAGTTTGTCTCTGTCGTATCGGTCGTTCCCTGACGACTCTGCCGAGAAACACAACACTGTCTTTCGTTTCTCAAGTACACCTGAACTCTCCGTATCATAGCCGGGTAATTTTTTTATTTTAATGAAGCTATAATTAAATTAAAAATATATCGTTTTTAAACTTTTTTATATTTTATTAAGATTTAGGACAGATTTTTTAAATAAAAGTTTAGAAAAAACGTCTTAGAGTCCAAAAAAGGATAAAAATAATAAAATACACGTTAGAAAAGAAATTTTATAATCGAAATTACGTAATTTTTGAAATTAATAATAAATTATTAATTTTAGTCAAACATTTACAACCCCTAATATTAATCAAAACAGGATATATTCCACAGATATAATAGAATCGGCGACAGGGAGAGAAAAAAAAATATGATTGTTGTAACTTTTTTTCTGGTTAAGTGATATCTTATTATGTAAATTAGAGAAAACATAGATCTGTTCCATTAAAGCAAGGAAGGTGATAGGAAGTGGATAAAATGAAAACTACATTTATTTAACTCGGTACTGTCTTTGTTATACCGGGTGCGTCCCAAAAGTGGCTCATCCCCATAATATTTTTATATTTTCAAATAAAAAAAAACAAGATTTAGTATGTTAGTATATGACATAAATTAGGATTAATTGACGCATTCAATTGTTTTTGGTCACTTCCTGTTTCACCGGAAATGACTATAACTTTTAATTTTTAAACGGCACCCTCGGTATATTTCTACTTTATTCGATAGAAAATGACACTCTGGGTAGAATCGAATTTGACCCACCCTGTACAATGATATGTCACACTTAATATTTTTTTTGTTAACATTTAAACACAATTTATTTAAACTAATTTCAAGTCCGGTTCTATTTTTTTTAAATATTTAATCTATTCATCGTTAGAATATTGATAAGCTTTCAAACTTAACAATGACGTGGCGTAAAACATTGAATACCGAAAATCAAATGAAATAATAAAATAATAAAAATTAATATAAAATAAATAATATAAATATAATATAATATAATATAATATAAACAATCAAAAATCAAATAATTTCACCGGAAGATCGGTTGGAAATGGAAATGGTAGAGCATTATAATGGCCAGTGAGGTTCCTGTACCGGTCGCCAAAGGGCGGAGGGACGGTGTATCATTACTTGACTTCATTTTTTGTAAAAGTGAAATCAATATATCTCAACATTTACAATAAAGAGTAGAAAATACATAAAATTTAACGAAAAATAAATTTGTGCAATTGGGCAGGTGGTGCGTCCAGGTGGTCACAGAAAGCTAATCAGATTCAAGAGTACGCCACGCATCATGATTACCGTAAATTCTTCGAGGCTGTAAAAGAAGTGTACGGCCCAACCAAGAAGGCAAGCTGCCCAATCATGGCACAAAATGGCGAACTTCTAAAAGAGGAAGAGCAAATCAGAAACCGCTGGAAAGAGCATTACAGCCATATCCTTAACCAAGAAAAATAACCCCAATATGGAAGCGCTAAACACAATACCTCAGTATAACAGCCTCGATGTATTAGATATCCCAATAACAGAACAGGAAATAAAGGCCTCCATAAAACAGCTTAAAAACAACAAATCAGCTGGCTGCGACGCGATTCCGGCGGAAATCTATAAGTGTGCAAGTAAAGAACTTATTGGTCATCTTAAGGCTCTCTTCGATGTCATATGGGAAAGCGGAGAGGTACCTCAGGACTTTTGCAACGCAAATATAGTGAATATATTTAAGAACAAAGGAAGTGCATCAGACTGCGGAAACTACCGGGGAATTTCACTCTTGGCTATCGGCGGAAAAATTCTTGCAAAAATTATGTCAAACCGCCTGCACCCACATATAGAAAAAATCCTTCCAGAATCGCAAACGGGTCTCCGCACTAACCGCGGCACCGTCGATTCCATATTTTCCATCCGCCAACTACAGGAAAAAGTAAAAGAACAGCAGTATAAACTTTATGTTGCCTTCATCGACCTAACAAAAGCCTTCGACTCTGTGAGCAGATATGCACTTTGGGCAATTATGAAAAAGTTCGGAGTACCCAACAAATTTCTTACAGTGTGTAAAAGCCTCCATAACAACAACCAGTCAAGAGTGTCACACCATGGATCACTAAGCGATCCCTTCCTGATAAATACAGGAGTTAGGCAGGGATGTGTCTTACCGCCTCTCCTATTCAACATATTCATGGCAGCGCTCTCCATTATAGTGGACAGCAAACTGCAGGAGAGAGGATTGGGCATTACATACAGATATGATGGCGGTCTGTTCAACATAAAAAGACTCAGGGCAAAAACACGTACAAAATTCATCACAGAACTTCAATACGCTGACGATTGCACTCTAGTTGCAAAAACTGTACAGCAATTACAAGAAATGCTGAACGAAGGCTTTGGGCCTTAAGCTAAACATCGACAAAACTAAAATCATGTGCACTCCCCCGGAAGATCACAACACCGCTATAAAAATCGGAGAAGAACTACTGGAATATGTAGCGGAATTCAATTATCTCGGCAGTTTGATTTCGGAAGGCCAATATCGACTCTGAAATTCAGCACAGGATTAGCAGCGCTTCAAGAGCATTCTGGAAATTAAAAGACAGGGTTTTTTACAACCATGACCTGAGCACAAAAACGAAACTTGCAGCGTACCGAGCAATAATAATCCCCACCATGTTATATGGGAGCGAAATCTGGGTGCCGTACCGCCGACACATGAACGCATTAAACAAGTTGCAACAGAGACACCTTAGACAACTCTTAAGAATCAAATGGTTCCATCACGTCTCAAACGTATCGGTTCTTGAAAAAGCTAACTGCGAGAGTACTGAAGTCATGGTTACAAAATCCCGACTAAGATGGGCTGGTCACGTATGCAGAATGCAAGAAAACCGCATACCAAAATCACTGCTTTACGGTGAGCTTGTAGACGGTAAGCGGAGGCCGGGTGGACAACTCAAAAGGTACAAGGACATTTTCCACGAAAACTTAAAGGGAATTAATGTGCAGAATGAGTGGGAAGAGCAGCTCACAATAGAACTCAATGGAGAAGAATTGTAAACTCAATTAACAGCGAGAACCAAAAAGTTAAGAGGCAACAAAGCAATGAGATTTTTGAATGTCCGGAGTGCGGTAGGCAGATAACATCACGTATTGGGCTTTTCAGTCACAGAAAAGCTCATGAAAGAATACGCCTTGCGTGACCATCTTCTGATGCGTGTCAAATACTCGTCAGCGAGTAATGGCAGTATGTATGTATGCGTCCAGGTGGACGCTGTATCCAAGACGCGCGTATCTCAGATACAGAAAAAGCATGTAGTTAAATTGTACCTTACACATGGCATTCGGTGACGCATACAGTACCGCGCCGCCGAATTTTTACATGTGGAATTTTCAGCCGCCCGGCGACGAAGGTGTATCCGGCCCAAGAAGCATTTTTTGTTTTATAAGTGTGTTAGGAAACTTACCAACACCATATTATACAACCTAAACGCATCTAGAATGGTTGTCGTGAGTTATTGGTAACCATTATATAACACTTATATGCCCTAAACCGTCAATTTTATAACTGTTCCTATGGTAACCCTTAACACTCAAGGTGTGCAACCAAAGTCCTGAAAACTTTCTCAACACCTTTATATATCCTATCGAGTTACCGCTATAAAACTGAAAAGGGTTATATAATAGTTATATAGTGGTGTTAAGAAGGTTCCCAGACCTCTATAGAAATATCGCGCATGCGCGTTTTTTTGAAAATAAACTTGTTTCTTTCTGACTAACTACTTTAATATTTGCCTCTTTTTTTAACATAAAAATTCTCCTACGCAGATAATCCAGACCAGACACAAAAGAGACAAAATGATGTCATCCCTGTTATAGCCTACAAAAGGGTTTGCGTTATGCAAATGACTTTATAGAAATTACTGGCTTAATAAAATCTATTGTGCCTAGCCGGAGTACTAAATACATATGCTATATTAAATTTACTGTGTGAAAATCAATTTTACCTCCAAAAAACACATGCGCCCCCAAAGCAGAATTATTTAATAGATTTTTTTATAAACAAAAAAAAATATGGTAAAATTTTTGTAATGAAAGTCAAATTTATTAATATAAATAATAGAACATACGACTTTTTTAATACATAGAAATAACTGGCAACTGGCCAAAATATAGTTTTGTACCAGTTTTCAACGTTATCTTAGAAATACTCATTGTAGCCAAAAATGAAGACATCAATAATAATGGCGTCCATTATATTTAAAGTGCTATATATTACTTTAGGGTCTGTAACATACTCATCAACCATTATATAAATTTGGTTACTTAAGGTTGCGTAAATGAGTTTGGGTTATTTAAAACACCAATTTTAGTGTTTTATACAACTAAAGGTAACACAAATCACCATCATAAACGCCGGGGTGTTTATGGCTACTTTTAGTCACCCAGAAAACCTTTATGTAACCCCTGGTAACCCCACTGGTAACCCCAAACCTTTATGAAACCCCACATTACAGCAATTTGACAGAAAATGTGCAGAAAACAAAACATAACCTCATAAAATTGAAATAATACTGTTTTGGTACAATTTGATCTATATTTAAAGTGGTAGGAGTTTGCAATAGAGTTCTAGGGTCCTTTGATACTTTGGTAGAACAGTTATGAATGAATTTACTATAGAAAAAAGCTCTTTAAGTGTAGAATGTGTAATGTTAAAGCGCAGAGCTCATTCTCTTATGTTAGAACGAAGTCTTTTCTCCTTACCACATTCATTGAGGCTTCTTCTTCTCTCTCCCTTAACCAGACATCTTCCTGTTCCTGATCGTTTTGGCAACTTTCTGTTGAAAATATCTCAGGTTGATCCTGATATCTGCTTGTGGATGGTAAATTTGCATGTTGGCTTTTAATATTGGTAGATGTAGTTTGAATGAGGTTTGGATTATTCCTATATATAAATTCTGAAGAACCTTTCTTTTGAACGTAGATGTATTTTTGTGTTTTATCCTGTTTATTTTTTTATTATTCATTATAATACCGAATTGCTTGCTTGCTAATATATTATTTGTTTTGATTATATTAAAAACTTGAGGTTATGTCATTAGGTTTGATATTCGGTAACTAAAGGTTATATAAAGCATGCAAACATTTGAAAGGTGCAAAAAACGATTTGAGGGAACAATTATATAACTTGTAGTATTATTGGTTACATAATGGTTCTCAATAACACCTTTAATTATATAGTGTATATCTTGCCTACCTTTATAACACCTAATACCAGAAGTTATATAAAATAGATGTGAACACCTTTATAAAACCTTACTATGAAACCTTTAGTAACAAGAACCTGTAGTTTTATAAGGAAAGTGATAAACAACATTTCAAGGTTACTATTAGTGATAAGTAACCAACGCTACATTTATATAAATCAAAACACTGTAAGATACCAGTGAGACATTTATTAAACCTTTATATAACTAACCTTGAGAATATATAACCTAAAGGAACTTAAAATGTTACTTGGGGGGATACCGAATTATCATAGTAGGTTATGGACCTGTTCAGATTTCCATACTTTTGCGATACAAAAAGTTCGATTTCACAGACGAACAGAATATTTATTGTAGGTCTATTATAGTAAAATAATAATTCAGTAGTGAGAGTGAGTTCGAACAATAAAGAAGAGAACCATGGATCGTGCCGCTTTCGATAATGAAAAATGTATAAGCTTGGTAGAGCCAAATTCTTGCCTATAGGATACGATATATGCCACAGCAGAACGCACTCTTCAATATTCATTTTATAATACAATAATACGACTGCACCGCACTGAAATTTGTTTTAAACTAGAATATTATTTTGTACCCAAAAAAAAGTATGCCAAAAGAGTATCTCGATAGTATTCGACTGTCATTCTTTATCCCAAAATCAGCAAACTCAGCAGTCAGATCAGCAGACTATTTGTATTTAACTTATAATTTGCGTTTTTCAGTATTAAAGTATATTATCTATCGTTTGACAAGTTTTTATACCAATTTTCAATAATGTATATGGTTTATATCTAAAATTAGTTGTTGTTAGTTACGAAATAACTAAACAAGTAATTAAGATCACATTTATAATAATAATAAAAATTAATTATGGGATAATTAATTATTTTGAAATTAAACAGTAAAAAGATTATTTTCAGGCTTGAATTTATGTGATTTTAGAATATCTAAAATGTCTAATGCATCTTCAAAAACAGTACGGCAACTTCTACAAGTTATGGACTGGGCCCACGTTACGAATAGTTATAAATAAGCCGGAATACTTAGAAGATTTACTCACATCTAATGTACATGTATCCAAATCCGCTGGATATGACTTGTTTAAACCTTGGTTGGGTGATGGATTGCTAGTCAGTACAGGTAAATATCAGCCTATTATATATCATAAATTCAAAATATTAATTTAAACATCTAGATCGCTATACCATATCAGTAAGCCACAGTCTTTGGCCAGTATTTACGTGTATAGAAGTGAATCGCTATAGTGATCTTGTAAGTTGGAGAGAGAAAAATGCGTTTGTTTATTACATAACCTATACTTTCATTACTCTCTGTTATACTACTCTCATTTACAGCTTTATTGTACCATCACTTAATTTGTAACAAAATATTTTCCTCGAACTTGTATTAAAGAAAGATTAGAAAAAAGCAAATTAAGAAATAGAGAGATTTCTCGAAGTATACGCACATTATACTAAGCAAATTATATTAAAAATAAGTCCTTTTTCCCTTCACAACCTTGATTTCTACTATATCTACGAAAAACTTCCTAAGCCTGACAACTGTGAACTGTGTTATTCAACTGAACCTTGGAACGAGTACACATGCCACACACATTCTAGCAATGATGGGCGCAGATACTTGTTGGTTAAATACCCAACGGCTATATAAACAAAATCTGGGTATATATCTGTAAATTTAGATGAACACACAATTTATAAAAGGAGTTCCCGACGACCGCATTGTAAATACCCAGTATAATACCAGGAGAGTATATATCAGGAATATATCTACAATATTTCTCAATGAGTATAGAGTATATACCCTACACCGTCTGGGTATATATCCATTGAGGATCATAGGGTATTTAGCCAACGGGTACAATCCGCCCATCACTGTATTCAAGTAAGCTTGCGCAAGTCTCGGAATCGAAAGCGGCGTTTACACGATGCATGTTTTGCACAAATACTTGCTTTCACAAATTGAACCTCAATTGAACAATTTAAAAATTGTATGTTTAAACTAATCAACATATTGTGCAAGAACTATGGAGACCACTGATTTTGTTAAATGTGGTGAGAATATTTTGTCATACGTTAATTGATGAGCTACGTATTTTGTTAGAAAAAAAAATAAAAATCCAAAAGCAAGAGTACCATAGATAAAACGAAGGCAAAATTCTTTCATCAAAACGCAGCGTCTGACGTGTATTTGACATGAATCAGAAGATGCTTACGCTAGGCGTTTTCTATCATGAGCTTTTTATGAGTTAAAGAATTCATAATTTGGTCTTCGGACAACCTACTTACCGTCGTATAACTTCTACTGCAAGAACTAGGCAACGTGTTTACCTGTCAAAATTTTCGCTCTCTAAGTCCTAACATGCAGGAAAAGTACACCTGTATAGCAAATATATATATATTAGCGACACTTTGTTCCTATTAGTGATGGGAAAAACCGATTAATTTCAATAATCGAGTACTCGAGTATCAAGCGATTGCAATAACCGAGTGATCACTCGAGCGAAATGTCGCATGTTGTAAGCAGGGTTCGGAAAACTACATGTTACTTTTGAAAACTACATTACATGTAGTTAATGTAGTTTATGTAGAGGGTGTAGTTTATGTAACCTATGTATGTAACTTTCAAATGTCAAAGGTTGAAGGTGAGGTTATAATTTATAATAAGTTGAAGCTTTAAAAACACATAATGTATTTAAGAAAACAGAAGAAATATGGCTTTAATTATAATATTTACATCATATTATCTCTATTACACCGCATACAAAGGAAAATTATTCATAATATCAATACATAGTTTATTAACGTAGTTTTCATGTAGTTAATGAACGGGGAAAAACGTAGTTTTTGAAGAAAAACTACACGTAGTTAATCAGGTAAATTACGTCTTAGTTAACTACTTCCGAACCCTGGTTGTAAGTACTCGTCAACGCCAAGCGCCAAGCAGTAAGCTGCGTGCGCAGGGCACATATTCTTTCGGTAATGAACGGCAAGTAGCTTTTTTTTAAGATAAAAAGTTACTTTAATTTTAAGATAAAAAGTCAATCTTTAACCACCCGGTATAAGATCCGGCGGCAATTCGCGGCAGCCAGTGGCAATTAATTTATATGCAATATACTTTAAGCAACAAGTATTTTCATGCCGTTTAAGAGGATTTGAAAGGAAAAGTAGTTAAAAGTCTTAAAGAGTGACAAGCAAAAATGTAAAAATACTATTTTTGTTGCCTTCAAATAAATTGCCATAAACTAATATTACTTAGGTTTAATTAAGTGCAAAAAAGAAAAAAAACAGTTCTTTCTATCTTCTTTTCGAACGTCCATTACGGAAATGGCAACAGCTTTTATCAATTTTATTAAAATAAATAATTAATTGGCGTTATCTGAAAACTGTTTATGTCAGCTTGATACCAGTAGCAAAAATGTGACATTTCTAACAAAAAAGCGCTACACTAGGCTTACTTGATTTTGTTATTTATTATGTATTGTTTACAGGGGAATATAAGAAAAGTATTAGCAACAGTTTCATGCAAACATTTTGAAATTAATATTTCTAAGTAATGACCTATCTGGGAACCACTGTGTGGTGCGGTGGTGTGAGATCCGAGACCATTCCCAGAATCTCATCCGACTGTGGTTCGTCTACTAGTCGGTTTTGTATGAACATGATTAGTTTCTTGGCTTTCTTTACTTGAGCAAGTACTTGAAATACTGTTTACATTACTCAAGAACATGAAATCCAATAGGTATTTAGGCAAGCAAAACTTGCATCGTACATACATACATATACATGCATCGTATAAACACCGCTGAAGACTTTTCTTTAAAAAAAATAATCATAATATATCTAGTAGCACAGAATATCTAGCTACGCAACAGAAAAATACTCGAAATGAAAGAGCTAAAATTGCACAAATAGAATACTAGATGGCGCGACAATATCATAATCAGAATATAATTAGAAATTTTGAACTTTCGGTTTTGGATCGACGGTTCGTCGACGGCCTTATAGCTCGGCTAAATATGCACAGTTGCCAGATTCAAAAAAGACTTGAATTGGCATCCCATTCTTTTATTGTGTATAATGCAGTATGTGTTTCTTTCTATTCTTCTTTTCTTGTCAGATACGCTTATATTAATTATTCCTTTGGCTATTAAAATAGTTTTAAGTATATTATTACAAAACATATACATTTTTAATATACACTATACCTTATAATGTTAACTAAGAAAATACCTTTAATTACCTTTTAAAATTAATAATATACAGGGCGATTGATAGTGATATTTATTAATGCTGGAACGTTAGTAATGAAATATGGAAATAATTTATTAAAATACAGTACAAAAATGTTAACTGACTAAAAATACTATAATAACAAATTTCTTCCGTTTGCCACGTTATTTATATATTATAGACCTAGGTAGATTTTAAAAAGTGACACAGGTACAATTAATAATATATTAGTTCGGCATAAAAGTTGCTGTCACGACATCGAACAATAAATTAAAATTCATAAAATAAATTAAAATTATTAATTAAACAAATCTTTATAAAGAAACGCAAGTATACCAAATTTTGGCCCAATTGAACTCCAGGAAATGATATCATAATAGTGTACTATATTATGGTACCACTCGATATACTTTAAGGTACCATAATATTGCAATGTCACCGAAGATCCGTAGTATACCAAATTTAAGAACAATCGAACGCCATGAAATGGTATCGTAATATGGTACTATATTAAGGTACCACTTTATATATATCATAGTTCAATCATATTACAATGTAACCGAAGATACGTAGTATACCAAGTTTGAGCCCAATCGAACGCCAGGAAATGGTATCGTAATATGGTACTATATTAAGGTACCACTTTATATGCATCATAGTACCATCATATTACAATGTCACCGAAAATACGCAGTATCCCAAGTTTAAGCCCAATCGAACGCCATGTACGTAATATAGTACTATATTATGGTACCAGTTGATATGCTTCATGGTACCATAATAATGCAATGTCATCAAAAATACGCAAGTATATATCAAATATGAGCTCAATCGAACGCCAGGAAATGGTATTAAAATATGGTACTATATTAAGGTACCACTTTATATGCATTATAGTACCATCATATTACAATGTAACCGAAGATACGTAGTATAACAAGTTTAAGACCAATCGAACGCCAGGAAATGGTATCGTAATATGGTACTATATTATGGTACCTCTTATTATGCTCCATGGTACCATAATATTACAATATCACCGAAGATACGTAGTATCTCAAATTCAAGCCCAATCGAACGCCATGTACATAATATGGTACTATATTATGGTACCAGATGATATGCATCATAGTACCATCATATTACAATGTCACCGAAAATACGTAGTATACCAAGTTTAAGCCCTATTGCCGCCATGTACCTAATATTGCTATGTCATCAAATATGGTACTATAGAAGGTACCACTTTATATGCTCCATGGTACCATGATATTACAATGTCACTGAAGATATAGTATACCAAGTTTAAAGGTAATCGAAAAGGACGATCGATGACATTTCCCATTAAAATTTAAATATATAATGACAGTGATATTCATTTCATAGCTATCGCTAACGCCGTTTTTTCCCGATTATACAATATGAACTTGGTATGAACACAATCGAACGTCAGGAAGTAGTATCATAATAGTAGAACAATACTTATTATATTGTCGCCGAATTACAATGAAAATTCAGGATTCAATTATACAATCAAACGTCAGGAAGTGATTGTAATTTAGCTCATAAGATTTAATTCCAACTAACATGGCAAACTGAAAAAAACAGCTCTGATCTATTTTAATATGTTTAAATGATGTAGCAAATTTGAAGGTAGGCTTTGTCAGGAAGTATTACGATATGAATTACACAATGGCAACACTGCACAAAATTCTTTTAAATTTTGTTTGTAGAAAACTGTTTTCTTTTAAATTTATTGTCCTCTATTATGTAGTAGCGAAACTACCACATCAAAATATCTGATTTGGAGACAGACTTTTAAAGCCTGTCTCCTTTTGCTACCTACAATTTTATATATGTAACGAGGCTTCTGTTGCGTAGCTAGATATTCTGTGCTAGTAGTCTATAGAAAAGTTAACAAGGTTTAAAAAAAAATTATAGACCAATTTGTAACTTAAAACCCTTCAAAATGAATACATTTTACATACGACATGATGGAAGTTGGAAATTCTACTTTTATATACTTTCATATTTTAATTGGGTTTATTTAATAAAAATATAATCTTTACCCAGGATATAAAATACACTTTAACCCAGTTAGTATTATTATTTACTTTAGAGATAACATATAAAACTTTAGAAACTCGCTCTAACAAATAAACGCAAGTTGGCTAATAGAGAAAGTTTCAAACTGCTAACAAGGGTACAGTGTATTGGGACGATAAAAGTTGATAATATACTGCTTATGGCGCCCTTTCTAGAAAGAGACTTCATAAAATACATAGGATTTCTAAAGAAAATGTTTATACATTATTACGTTAAAACAATTGTTTATTTGTTTATTTATTAACGAGTCGTTTTTTTCCTTATAGCTTGTAAATTTTTAAGTGCATGTTAGAAACACTTGCGCTTCTGGTAAAAATAAGTGAAATTCAGTTGGTGTTCGACAGTGGTCGCGCTATTAAAACTCCGAATTCAAAAATTGATATTTCGAAATTTGTTAGAAATAATTGATTGTAGTTTTTTTCAAAAGCGTTCTTTCGTTATAAAAATATGGACACACTAACGATATTCTTATAATTCCATTTTAGATGCTCAGAACCATAACTAATTATTTTATCTAGTTATCTTTTCGAAAAAAAAGTCTTTTAAAAATAAGCGGTTGGCAATGCCGCAACAACACACCGTCGTATTTCTCTCACTCCGACTTACTAAGATCCCTATGCGATTTACTTCCACACATGTAAATACCAACCCAAAAGTAAGAGTTGCCAGCACGGTATGATCATATTATATACTCTTGAGAGAGTAGTATACTCTTGTTTCAAGAAAATATTTCTACATGCTTAAGTGTTCATTTTCGCTCAATAGATATCATAGACCGAGAGCTGGCTACATAAAAAACCTTATCATCGTTACATGGCTAATTTTTTGTGTGAAGTATCCTTTTGTGTAGCCATTGTGAAATAGTCATGTATGCCAGTGCGATCCCGGGACTTAAAGCGGGGGCGGCCAATCGAAAGGTTGAAATTTTGACACAAAAATATTATAAGGTGCACGAGTTATAATTGCCCAACAGCTTTTATTTATTATTAGGAAACGTGTAAAATTGTTGACAGACATTTTTCTCGTGGCTGAAATGCCGGCAGACAACGCGAAAGAGGCATAGAATTTTGACAAAAGAAAATCATCGCATATATGCATGTCGGTGGGTTTGGCTTGGTTTGCAAAAGCCGTATGCAAAAGGGCAGACAAAAAAATCGTTATTGAAATCATAAAAAAATATATTTATAATATAATCGTATATTATATGATTTATCTATACTTAAATGGATGAGGCGGCCAGCGTTCCCCGAATAAAGCGCTAGAATAATATTGTGCTTTTGATAACTGTCTGCAGCTGATTGAGCCACGATCTTTTTGTCTGCCCTTTTGCATACGGCTTTTAAAATAAATAAATATGACATTTCACCAATCGGCATGCAAATATGCCATAATTCTTCAAATTTCATTTTTTAATAATTTTTAAAATTTCATGTTTCGCTCTTTCGCGTTGTCTGTCGGCATTTTAGCGACTAGAAAAATGTCTGCCAACAATTCTTAATAATAAATAAAAGCTATTTTCGCAATTATAACTCATGTATCTTATAATATTTTTAGTGTCAAAATTTCACCCTTTCGAATGGCCGCTACCGCTTTAAGTAAAAGGATACTTCACACAAAAAATTAGCCATGTAACGATGATAAGGTTTTTTTATGTAGCCAGTTCTTAGACTATAAGCACAGATTAGGTATCCTATAAGTATACAGATAAAAATCTTGTCCCTAATTCGTGGTACGAAAATTGTCTTTTACGACGATGTGCAAACGAGTCAAATTTCCTGTGCGCAAAAATAAACTCGCGTAAAATAACAATAAACAGCGTAATAGAGAGATATCGCTAAACCGAATAGCGTGCATGGACGTTAATAAGGCCAGGTGTTATTTTCTTTACGTGAGGTGGTATTAACTCTCTTCATTTATAGTTATTGGATCGGAAAGAATTCTGATCGCGTCGCGTCCGCTATTTAAACTTAACCTAACTTTGAATTTAAAACTTTGAAATTGTTTTGTTTACTAGGTATTTTAAAACTAAAGGGCTAAAGTGCTTATTTCCAGTGCTTTATTGTTTAACGTCTGCCAATGGGTTTAGGACAACAAGCAACAAATTCTCTTAGAAGGGTTAAGTCGTCATCTGCTGTAAACCTAAGACTCTTTATAGGTTCTTTAGTATTGGAAGAGGTGGAATCCATATTTTGGGCCATATTTATTTAATTAAAACTAATCCCAGCTACTTAAATATCAAATTACCTAATAAAACTAAAGCAATAATTCATAACAATTCAAACATAACCTAAAATAAAAGATCTCGCCGGCCGGCTCCGGTTGTCAAATACCCGCACATGCCCATTTAAGCAATTTTTAAACGTTATCAGAGGTTATTTAGAAAGTGCGCTTGGTGTAATTGATCCGCAAATTACGTCAGGCGGTAACTTTATTAGCGGGTGTTGCGTTGACTCGCGCATATCGTAACCATGATAAGGTACGCGTAAATACTGGATGACGCTATTCGGTTTTCCGATATCTCTCTAATAACTGCGCCGGTCAGGCGCTGTGCACAATTTTAGAGGCCATAAGTGGGCGTGCTATGTGCGCAAACTAGTCACCTAACTAGTGCCCGATTCCGAAAATTGGAACCACGAAAAACAATAAAGAAAAAACAAAGATTATAATCTGTATAATCTGTGCTATAAGCTTATATAAAATTTAACAATAAAATTATAGTCAAAACGCACTGTTGGATTTTAACTAGCGATCAATTTTGATAAATCTTAATGCAAAGGGATGCGATTTTCTAATTTCATTAGATTTAGTTTGATACTAAAAATGGTTTTTGTTGAATCGTAGGCTCTAAATGGAAAAGTCGACGTAAAATGATTACTCCAACGTTCCATTTCAAAGTTTTGGAGGACTTTATGCAAATATTTAACTACCAAATTAATATAATGTTGGATAAAGTTATGGAAAAGGTTCGGAAATGCCCCGGAGACACTCTCGATGTATTTAAGTTTATTAATTTGATGTCCCTGGATATCATTTGCGGTAAGTTAAGTTAAAAGGTGATTTTTCTTTAATTGCTTCATTAAAATTTGTGTGAACCTGTATCTTTTGTAAACAACCTCTTAATAGTCCAGTCAGTGGGGTGTTTTGCCATACAAAAGGTGGTGTAGTAGTAATTTTTTTATATGTTGTTAAGGTTTTGGTCTTGACAAAAAATTCAAGTTTTTGACCTTGGGGTAGGACCGCTCGAGCCGCCATCTTGGATAGAAGGTAAAGTGACGAAAAGTTGAACATATTTTCCAAAAAATAGAAAAAGTCCCCAATTTTGTAACTTTTCCGAAATTCTCGCTATTTTTTACATAGGTATAAACAGTAGCGGCTGGTGAGGTAGTGCCATGGTGCCACGGAGCGAAAAAAAATATGTTATAACCTTCATATGTCTCATTGAAATATAATGCACAACATAAAAAAAACTGAAAAATAAGGTAGTGCCATGGCGGTTTATTAGCTTTTTCTTTTCTTTGATGGTCCGGGTCGGCAGGAGTATTGTCTTCGGTGTCATCGTAATCGGTTCTTATAGGAATATATTGCTCTTCCATTGTTAAGTCTTGGTCATCTTCGTCCTCAATGTCGATGTGAACCTCCGGGACATTTTCGCATGACTGACCACTGCAGAAGCCACATATAGCGGAACACTTCAACACAGCTTTCCTGCAACCACATGCTCTCTTTTCTACAAGTATCCTTTTCTAGAAGTGCATGAAATAAATTTCAATAAGTTATCGGGTGCTGCTTGTTTTGTCATCGTGAGTGGAACAAGCCCATTGCTGCCCAGTTTCCAGCCCTAATCATCAGGTTTTTTCTCGATTTAATACCATTTCTGGACTTGATGATATGTCCTGAAAGAATGATACCGGAAAGGAAGATTGGATTTATTTTTTGTGGTTGATCTAGCAAAACGTCGGTAGCGGATTTCTTCTAAGGTGTCTTCTTCCAAGTTGCCACCATACAAAGCAACGAGAAAGCGTGCTCCAGCATCTGCGATGTCCTCTGGTGTTGCATCTTGATGTTTAAAAATGCCAATGGTGTCACTGAGTCCTGCTGTATTCTGGAGAAGCGAACAAAACTTCATTTTTCCTTGGTTGAAGATTAACGATGTCGTGTCACAGTCACTAAAAGCATAGAGAAACAGAATGTTCTCAGCTACTTTTTCATGTTTTAAACTATTAGCTGAATATATTTTTCAGCAGTTTTGCCTTTTCCTGGTTTGCGGAGGTAGATGTTTTGAGACGGTGCCAATGCTGTCCTTGAGACGGTGCCAATGCTGTCCTTGAGACGGTGCCAATGCTGTCAGCAAAACGAGAAGGTCAACTTCTTTACCAACTACAAAAACAGCATTAAATTTTGGGCACAAGGAAATCGCTGTTCTGACAATCAACACATCACCATCTTCTTCCGCCTGGTTGACAGTAATAGCAGCCTGCTCCATTTTTTTGGCGAGCATCGATATTAAACGGCCTTTATTGTTTTCGTTGGCTAAAAATAATTTTTGGGAAACTTGAACGGACATTGTTTCATCAAAGAGAGCATCCGCAGATATGCTTCTTCGATCGGCGAAGTCTTTCTGCGGCCTTGGTATTCCTTGGGCTCCATCACTCGGATATCCATCAAAAATAACGACTACATGTGAACCGTAGTGATTTCGTACATATTGAACGAAAATTTCGTTATCTGCAAAATATTCTTCGCTCTTTTTGCCTCCGCCCAAATTATTATTTCACCCAAATTGTTCCGCCCTTTTTACGATGTCCCGTGATCCTTGATATATCGAAAAAATTTTGATATCTAACTTTTATTCCAACATTTTGATCGTAAGATCAAACCGCTGCGGATATATTTTGAAAAATACTGTTTTTTTTTTGTATCTTCAATTCAAGATGGCGGCTCGGGCGGTCGCACCCCAAGGTCGAAAACTTGGATTTTTCATCAAGACCTAAACCTTAACAATATATTAAAAAATTACTACTACACCACCTTTTGTATGGCAGAGTCCTAGAGTAGATTTTAACATTTTATTTTTATTTATTTTTTTCTTAACATTAGAAACCTCCCAGAGTAGATTTTAACATTTTGGTATTTTTGGAGTTCAAATTTTATGGGAAATTTACTGAGCGAAAAAATGTGTCTCTTTTAAAAATTTCAATTTGCGTAATCACCATGAATCACCATGTATATCTATGCCGTCCACTGCCATTGCCACAAAAAAAATGTGCGCCACTGACATTTTTTCTCTTATTAGTTTCTTTTATTGAGAACTACCAGACTCACCCTGTATCTGACTATATAATGATTATTTTTGCCTTGTTTACATAAATATATAAAGTTTATGTGCATTCGAACAAGGTCGGCAGTAATCGCTAGTTTAATAATAAAATATGACCTATATTTAAAATTTCAAAATTTTAACTAGTGAAGATATATCACCATGTGATTTCATGATATACATATACATATACATATAAAAACAAACCTATAAATCACTTATTTAGGCCATCTCACATGTTTTATGGAAGGTACTGACGTAAATCTCTTCACGATTTTGTAGCAAAATGCAACTAATGCAGATTCACTTTGAATTTCATTGGATAAAAAGTAATTTGAATCAATGGAATCATGTACAAAATTTATTATAAAAAAATGGTAAATTCATACGGCCAAAACAAGTGTGTATTATAAGGAACAAAATTACAAGGAATTTTTACTTAATACCGTATGATTGAAGGAAAACATGAAGCGTTACCTTTACTTAATGTTAATAATTTTTAGTTATGTAATTAAATCACAATACCGGATGCGTCTCGAAAGTGGCTTACCTCTATAACTTTTTTATTTTTTCAGTTAAAAAAACGAGATTTGATATATGCGTATATGACATAAATTAGGATTGATTGACGTATTCAGTTGTTTTCGGTCACTTCCTGTTTCACCGGAAATTACTACAACTTGTGATTTTTGTTACTTTATTCGATAGAAAATGACAGTGAATAGAATCTGAATAGAATGACATATCATATTTCAACTTTTGACATTTTCGCATATGGTTTATTTGAAATTATAACATGCGGTTCATAACGAAAATTTGACTCGAAATACCAAGTGTACGTGTGTTGTATCGCATATGCAATACGGTATCTAGAAAAGCTGAACAAATTAGGCAAATATAACAGGCTAAGTCCATCTCTTCTGGGTGTCAGCTCACCAGAGGGACGAGGAAGAAAAGGAGCAAACGCTCCACTAACTGGACCAGAAACGTCCCAAGTAGCATCTATCTGACTTCGAACTAAATCTGACTTGAAGCGACGTCAGACTTTGTGCAAATTTAGGTCGGGTGCTGGTGATACGACCGGTGACGTCGCTTTCCTATTAAAAGCGACGTCGTTGGATCCCAGTGGGTAAATCCAATGATCTGTCGACGTACAAAATAACAACGTACCATTTTTATTAATTTCCCAACGTCGTTTCCACGTTGGCTTGCACGACGTACATATACTTGAACTAGCCCGACGTCTACCCGTTGTCCGAATAGGATACGTCTCACTGATAATCCCTAAAGTAACGTCCAATTATATTTTGTTGTATTTTATGTTCATATTTATAACCTAATTTACGTATCTCTATTTACGTCCGTAAATACAACCCATTAAGTAGTATTTGCGGCCTAATGAACATCATGAACATAACCTAATAAAAAGTTTTTGTAAACAAACTTAATTTTTTTATTATGCCTAAAAAAACACTAAAAAGGCATTTAGACATTCATCTACATTTTACAGAAAGAGGTCGAGGCTTTTGCAAAATAATAATAGTAGTAGTGATGTTTTGTTTCCACCCACGAATGCTTTTTATCCGGAAGAGATGCTGCATTACACTGGTGCATCTTAATTTTATTTTTAGTTTAGGAAACCAGCAGACCCCATCCTCCTCCCACATGTGAGGTACTGGTTCCAATTCTTTTAAATGTTGTATATATACTATCTTAAAAAAGTGGCTACCCATTTTTTAAGGAGAAAACAAAAACTAAAATATAGTTGCACAAATCCACAAATCACTGATACGCAAAGTGAGGTTACGTGGGGTACGTTGGAATTATATACGTCATAATACGATTGCCGGTCGTCCGGTTTGATGACTTCGGTCGTGTGAGACGACTAATGTTGGAGACCCGGTCGGAATTGGTATATTGGTAGTTCATATTAAGTCGGACACAGAAATCCGCCATTCTTAACAAGTATCCGATTTTCAGCCATTTTAAAATCGTTTTTTGTTTTTAAAATTTATATTCACATTCCGATTTCTAGTAAAATAATATTGATAAGGTTGAGTTTGGGGGGAACCACAGTACAGTTTTATGATTAAACCAGCTAGAAAATAAAAAAAAATATTTTGCGAGTTACTTTTTTATAAATATTTTTATTTCATAAATCTACCTAATTTTGAAGGCGCTCGTTGTTTTCCGGAGTATTTTAATCAGATATATCAAAAAAGTGACTTCCGTTGACAAAACTGATGTCTGGATTAATGATTCAGAATTATTGTAATATGAAATTAGGTAGGCACTTATAGTTATATTCGAGGAGTGATTATGAATCCATTTGTAATTAGGTAGTTTGGTTAGGTTTTTATGTATTCTTGGTAGGGAATATGAAACCAAACGTAACGTATGTGCTTAGCGACAAATTTTAAGTGGCTAAAATCCAACGTAATATGACGTTGGTAATTGGTAGAATTACATTCCCTATTAGGTCAGATACTACATTTAGGTGCAAATAAGGGTCGTCAGGTGGTCGAACCGACGTTGGTGCCCGACGTCGGGTTTATTGAGCGCGACGTATAACCGACGTTAGATAACGTCCAAATGCTACTTGGGGTTCTGCTTCCCAAGTGGAAATTATTTGAAAAACGACAAATTGAAAATATGTTTCTTTTATCGAGATCTACCAGCCCCCAAAATATGTGTACTTATTTAAGACTCACCCTGTATAATAGATTTTCGGATAACTTAATATCTAGGTCCATATACCGGGACCGGGTGCATCTCAAAAGGGGCTAACCCCTATCACTTTTTTCCTTTTTAGTTAGAAGAACGGTATGTGAGTGTTTGACATAAATTACGATTCTTTGACGTATTCAATTGTTTTCGGTCACTTCCTGTTTTACCGGAAATGACTACTAGAAAACTTGATTTTTAAATGGCACTCTCGGTATTTTGTTACTTTATTCTATCGAAAATGACTGAGTCTGAATAGAATGACATATCAAATGTCAATTATCACATTTTCGAATATGTTTTTTTTTAAATTGCAACATACGATTCATAACGACAATTTGACTCGATATATAAAGTGTGTGGTACCAAATTATTCGTACAAAAATGCTTTTTCCAAATATGCTAACGAGCCACCCTCATTCCATTTGAAAAAATTGAGATATAGTTAAAATATGAATTGGGCATCTTTTAACCAGCCAGGACAACACACTAAAAACATTAGACGATCAAATATATTTTTCCAAGGCTCCTTGATTAAAATTAGTGTTTTTAATATAGCTATGGCACTCTAGATTGAAATTGTCAAAAGATGACATATGATAAGTATGTCATTATATTCAGAGTGTCAATTTCGATCGAATAAAGTAATAAAATACCGAGGGTGCCATTTAAAAATTAAAAGTTCATAGTCATTTCCGGTGAAACAGGAAGTGGTCGAAAATAATTGAATACGTCAATCAATCCTAGTATATATCATATACTAATGTACCAAATCTCGTTTTTTTATCCGAAAAAATAGAAAGTTATAGGAGTGAGACGCACCCGGTATATGAGCTTAGATATTTTATATGTTTCAAAACAATCGGTTCTATTATTTTTTATAAGAAAGAAAAAATATGTTTGATACAAACTTTTTGGCAAGCACTGTATACATTTTCGTATTTTTCTCTGTAGAATCTAGTTTATATTTAATAGAAAATATTAAATTAATATTAATAGTTAGTTTAATTTTATTTTTTTTATAGAGACAGCTTTTGGTACCTCAATAGGTGCTCAAAATCAAGAAAACATAGAATATGTAGAGGCAATAAAAACATTTTTGGAAATATTTGTCTATCGGTTCTACTCAGGTTGGATGGGACATCCTATCTTCTTTAGATTTTCCGAACATTACAAAAAATATCACAAAACGGTAAAAATTTTGCATGAATTTTGCGAAGATGTTATTAAAAAACGAAAAGAGAAATTTCGGAAAAAAGACAAGGTAGGAACTAATTATAATTAATAAAATAGAAAACAAATTTCTTGCAGTATAGGTATATAATAAAATTATATATGGATTCTTGCCACTTAACTGCTGATATAGAAATTTAATTCTATGCTGTGTTTGTCATAATGTGGATCAACCTGCTCTCACTACAGGTTTCGGAGCCCTACTCCATCATCAGGTGAGCTTGGGCAGATCCACAAAATGACAACCACAGCTCAGAAATAGTTAATTCCGACTCGTCGGAAAGTGTCGGTTAGATAATAAGTCCCGAACAGGGGATAGCGGCCTGCGTGCAATGGTAGTACTATCGTACCACCGAGAGGCGCAACTATCGATAGTAAAAGGATGGTAAAAGGTTTTTTTACAGGCAAGCCAAATTATAAAATAGAAAACAAATTTCTTGCAGTATCTTGCTTGCTGCCCAAGCTCACCTGATGATGGAGTAGGGCTCCGAAACCGGGAGTGAGAGCAGGTTGATCCACATTATGACAAACACAGCGTAGAATTAAATTTCTATATCAGCAGTTAAGTGGCAAGAATCCTTATATAATTTTATTATAATTAATATAATATTGAATTGAAGTATTATACTTAGATAAATGAGGATGAAAATGATGGAATAAAAATCCGTTCGGCCTTGCTGGACATGTTATTGGAGGCCAATCAAAATGGAGAAAATTTATCTGATGAAGATATTAGAGATGAAGTGAATACGTTCATGTTTGAGGTAAATAAACCATATTTCAGACTACGGAAATATTAAAGGAAACCTGTTGAAAATATACCTGGTGGTTCGAACTGTGTTCCGGAAACTTTGGCAGCATATTCTGCAGATAAAAATAAGTAAAAGAGTTCGTATAAATGTATGTCCTAAAATGATTAGTTTCGGAGATACAGGGTGTCAAAATTTCATTTTTATTTCGATTTTTCCAAATAATTTCTAAGATAAATTATTAAACGATATAAATAAAAATATCTTTTCTGCTCAATCGCCTCTGAAGTCAATGTACTTCGTTTATTGACAATAGAGACAGTATTTTCAGCATTTATTTTCCTTATTTCAAAAGCTTGATTGTGAATTTGCTAATAATAATTAGTACTTCAAAAACCATAAGTGGTAGCCACAAATAGACCTAACATGATTTTTAAAACATCAGGGTCGGTATAAGAGTTAGTTAAACTATTTTTTATAGTAATTTAGTTTTAGTTTGATCTGAGTATAGTGACAATGTCTAAACAAATCAATTTTATAAGATATGACTATGAAAAATAGACAGGGTGGTCCGAACTGTATTCCGGAAACTTCGGCAGCATATTCTGCAGATAAAAATAAGTAAAAAAGTTCGTATAAATTATGTCCTAACATGCTTAGTTTCAGAGGTACAGGGTGTAGAATTTTCATTTTTATTTCGATTTTTTTAAAATAATTTCTAAAGGAACGTCAATATTTGGACGAAAATTAGTGTCTGAGAGTTTTTTGACATGAGAAATTTGATTTTGATGTCAATATGACTCCTATTTGTAGGGGGCGCCACCTACACATCCTTTAACTGTTTTGAAGAGTAATAACTTTTTGTCCATACATCTTGTAGCAGGTTTGCGTTGCTCGGTAATGTGTGCACTTTGTCGGGGTAAATCATGTTCGAATAGTTTGGAGGTGGCAAAATTAGACGAAGATGAGTGCGAGGACAATTTTCCTCTCGATAAAGATCAACGAAAAGAATATTCTGCACTTTATGAATCAGATCCGGAATATGATACAGATGTGGAAGACATTCAGGAAGATTATATTGAACAGCCAGTAAAATCAAAAAAACGAAGAAACTATGATGAACCTTCCACCTCAAAAGAAACCTAAGTTGACGACATGTGGATTAGGCTTATTGGAAATGGGGAGACCACTCAAAAAAAACGCGCCGGGTACTTTACCTCAATTCAGCTCCCTGAGAGATACGGCGGTTAAACTTGATTTTCCACCAGTCGCGCAACAATAAAAATTTAGTCCGTTATTGCGTTTATAATGGAAATTTTCGTTCTTCCATTATGACCGCGACAGCAGGCTACTGCCAACTAGTAGCAAACAAGTTTTTAGGCTTTATGTCTCGGGGGTTCCGCTCAAGGTGGTGTGGAAGCCGATACATAGCGAAAATTCGATATTTTGGGTAGTCGCACGAAAAAAACCCATACAACGTTTTTTATAGAGTTTTTCCTCTTCTTTAATTTTGGTCTCTACATATTTTGCACTAAAGTTGATAGAAATCGAGTTATTGACAAATAATGAAAAATAAACCGAATTTTAGCCAGTTTTTCCAAGATGGCGGCCAAATCCGGGCTTTACGGGGAGTGCGAATTTAATACATGCTTCTCGACACCAAACTAAACAAAATAAAACTTATTCCAGCTTGTCCGGATTTGCTCCCGCTATCGATGCACTTGCCGACTGGCCTAATAGTGGTCGTAGGTAAAGCAATTTAAAATACTTATAGAGTTTAAAGTGCCAATTCAAGTTTTAACATGGACACATACTTACATTAAGAAATTAATAATTATTATACTTATCGCAGTCAAAACAGTAGTAGTTTTTAGTCTGGAAGGAAATTTTTCATCATGATACTTTCTTAGTATTAATTATTGTTAACATTGTAACAGCTGGAATATTTTAGGGACATGATACTTCAGCTACAGCAACATGCTTCACCTTGTATGCGCTAGCTCAAAATCCCACAATACAGGACAAGGTTTACCAGGAAATTTGCGAAGTAATTGGTAATGATCCAAAGGAAGAAATAACGTTATCACAAATCAACAATTTGAAGTATATGGATATCGTTGTTAAGGAGGCTCTAAGAATATATCAGCCCGTACCATTAATTGAAAGAAACATTGATGCAGATTGGATATTAGGTAAAATCAAATTATTTTTTTAATTTGTTTCCCATTTTATTATTACAGGGTGAGTTTCCTACGATGTTCTCTATGGGTATCTCGGAAACTACTGGAGATAGAGTCGAGAGAGTCGGTTAAATGGGGAAAGAATTGCAGTTTTGTGGGGTCATAAATATTCGCCTTTTAGATTTTTGAAAAAGTTTATGACTTACTAGATATTTCGAGAAAAACAAATTTGGGCTACTTAAAAAATTGTCTCTAATTCCATTATAAGCTATTTTAGACAAAAAGTTTTCAGATAAAAGTTGTAGATAATCACATCCTTAATGAGACTGCGTCGTCCGTTTTTTTCTAAAGCCTGTCATTTTTGATATATGACACAAACATATGTTTTTTTAAATGGAAACCCTATTTGGTCACGACTTCATAAAAAGCGCCATTTTTTAAACTTTTCGGGCTTTCTTTTTAATTTATAAAAATACAGAATATATTATTAAACGGTTCTTTACAATTTACATTATACAAACTAAAACTTAAAAAATAATATCACTACATACACTTTAAGTTATTTTAGGAATTTTCAAAAAATCCGCCATTATTTTGAGTACATAAATGCTTTTTTTAAAACTGAATTACCTACTAACTATTGTCACAAAACGACCGGTCGACTTAATTAAACTTTACGTACTGCCTCTTCGAGTGCCTCTCTTAATTCATAAGTTCTTTTGTAAACCTTATTGTTAACCATACCGCATAAAAAAATCTAAAATGGATAGGTCAGGTGATCGAGGAGGCTCATGCAATTTATCCATCTCTTACTATTCGTGAGTTTGCATAATTATGATATAAATCATTATTATTAACATTTCTTTCATTATAGGGAGGAGTCATAAAGAATAATGTTGGAACCACTTTATTGATGCGCGAGTATCTAAATTTAACTTTTCTAACATCTCTTGAAAACCGTCCTCTCCGTTCTCTAAAAAACGTAAATAACGTTCACCGGTCAACGTATTCTCGAAAATGTATGGCCAAGAAAAGTTGAACCAATAATCCTAAACGATTTTCTTCATTTAAACAATTCATATTGTTTATTTTATTTTCCAAAGCTTGGATACAGTTTCACATTTATGAGAGCAACGACGATTGAACTTGTTTCCATGGCTAACTAAGTGAAATTGTTTAAAAATTATAACAAGTGGCTTTTCGAAAAAAATATAGCTTATATCGCTGAAAAATTTAAAAAAATGGCCCTTTTTATGAAGTTATGGCCTTAAATAAAAAGTAATAAATATTTATATCTCCCTTTTTCGCAATTATTTTCCCTGAATTTATCGTAATTTTTCAGAAAAAGTTCAGAAATCAGTGTCCGTACGTTAAGATTCAATTAATCTAATTAATTCGGGAGTTATTCTTTGTTCAGAAACCTATTATGTCATAAAGTATATACTTAAGGGACGGAATAAAAAAGAGAATGTAGTACAAAAGCCAAAAAAGGAAAAATATTATTTCGTACTTTTTCCTTAACAAAAGGTAGGTATTATGGTGCAAAGAAAGAAAACAAGAACGTATGTTTTCCAGATAAAGCATATCTTGAACAAAGAGAAAAAACGTGAAATGTTTTGAAAACGTTTACAACAGAACGTTATAAAACAGTTTTTCGTATCCAGGGATTATTGTAAAAAAAGAACTAATATAAAAATTTAGAGAGAAATTTTATCATAAAATTTTCCAATCGTGGTTTTTCCAATGATCTCAGGCATCGCTTTACCGGGTGTTTTTTAAAAGTGTAAACTTCTATAACTCTTTTGTTTTTCAAACAAAAAAACGACGGTTAGTAAGTTAGTATATGACGTAAATCAGAATTGAGGTATTCAATTATTTTTGGTCACTTTCTGTTTCACTGGAAATTATTGGAAACTTTTGATTTTTTAATGGCACTTTTGATTCAAACTCACACTCTAGGCTGTGTTCATAACGAAAATTTGAATCAAAATACCAAGTATGTGGTACCAAATTAAAAATGCTTTTTCCAATTATGCTAAAGAGCCACCCTCGTTCAATTAAAAAATAACTTATTTAGAAAAATCTTAGTAAAAATTAACTAATTAATAAACAACACACTAAAACCAATTACAGTTCCAGAGATAGGGACCCAAGTAGCATTTGGACGTTGTCTAACGTCGGGTATATGTCGCGTTCAATAAACCCGACGTCGGGTACCAACGTCGGTTCGACCGCCTGACGACCCTCATTTGCACCTAAATGGGGAATACAGATTCGGGTCGCCTCGACGTCGGTATCTGACCTAATAGGGAATGTAATTCTACCAATTACCAACGTCATATTACGTTGGATTTTAGTCACTTAAAATTCGTCGCTAAGCACTTACGTTACGTTTGGTTTCATATTCGCTACCAAGAATACATAAAAACCTAACCAAACTACCTAATTACAAATGGATTCATAATCACTCCTCGAATAGAACTATAAGTGCCTATCTAATTTCATATTATAATAATTCTGAATCATTAATCCAGACATCGGTTTTGTCAACGGAAGTCACTTTTTTGATATATCTGATTAAAATACTCCGGAAAACAACGAGCGCCTTCAAAAGTAGGTAGATTTATGAAATAAAAATATCGCAAATAATATATAACTCGCAAAATATTTTTTTTTATTTTCTAGCTGGTTTAATCATAAAACTGTACTGTGGTTCCCCCCAAACTCAACCTTATCAATATTATTCTACTAGAAATCGGAATGTGAATATAAATTTTAAAAACAAAAAACGATTTTAAAATGGCTAACAATCGGATACCTGTTAAGAATGGTGGATTTCTGTGTCCGACTTAATATGAACTACCAATATACCAATTCCGACCGGGTCTCCAACATTAGTCGTCTCACACGACCGAAGTCATCAAACCGGACGACCGGCAATCGTATTATGACGTATATAATTCCAACGTACGCCACGTAACCTCACTTTGCGTATCAGTGATTTGTGGATTCGTGCAACTATATTATAAGCTGGATTTATAAACTCGGAAGTTGGCGTTCAGTTGAGGTTCAGTTGCAGTTGGATGTTCGCGGCAGTTGAGGTTCAATATTTTTGCATTTATAAACTTTCAGTTTCGGTTGTAGGTTAGGTTTGGAATTGTGAAAATTTCGAACGTTTTTCTTTCGATTTAAAAATACTTTTGGTATTTGTCAAAGTTCAAACACAGAAACACACCAAACCAAACACAGTAATCCACGATTACGCAAAATATAAACATTACATTAACAGAAATAATGAAACAACAATAAGGGTCATTTTCCAATGCATCGGCGTACTGTGCTTCACGTGATCGACAGGCGCTTATTCATTGGCTGTCGCCGAACGTCGCCAGCGGTCGCCAACCGCCCGCAACTGCCGACATAAACACTGACCATCATAGAATAACTAACTGAAAGAAATGAAAACTCCTATGTTAAAGCCTGGAAACACGCGCTCGACGCGATCCAAGCGGGCTACTGGCAGAACTAAAAGTTCGCGCCATATTTTTAAATGGACCTTTACTGCCAGTTCATAAGTTTTTTACTCATATTTGGTAATTTCAATCTAGATTATGAACTTATTTGTAACAAAACATTTTACAAAATAAAAATAATGTATTTTGATACAAATAAATTAATAACCTAGGTTGAAATTATCCCTGAAATTAGAATAAAACACGAAAAATTTGTAACTTGATTATTTTATTATAACATTGTTAATAAAATTACATATAACACATTCAACACTATACAAGTATATATAAAAGTTATCAGAATTTATACAATCAGTTATAAGTAATTATAAAAAAGGTTATAAATTATAAATAAATAATTCATTATATAAAAGACATATAGTTACCGTGAATATAATTTGGTATAACTTTAATCTCAACTTTAATGACCTATTCAAATAGAAACATCTTACAATTCACATTATATAATACACAAAGCCAAGGGACAAAATTGTTATTAAATCTATTCTCGATGACTCGAAGCATTTTTTTTTCAAATAAAACAGGACATATAGGGCTTATAAATAATACAAGGGTATAGAAAATATATAAATAAGTAAATACAAATATATTTTCAACCTAATGATTAATGATTATACTCGTTTAAATAAATAAATGATCTTTTTAAAATTACTTGTTTGTCTTTGCAAATTTGTATATTTAATATTTATCTAAAAGCGTACACTTACATAAATTACTGCACAACCTTTAAAATTAAGCTTTTAATATGTTATACAAATTCTTGATTCGATATAAATACACTTAAATAAAACTTTAAAATTAATGATCTTCCAAATTTCTGAGACAGCCATTTTGTTGAAAGAATTTGTTTTGATTATGAGAAATTTCATAAAAATTATCACAGGGATTAATTAATCTTATATATGAAACTACTTGGCTTTTAAATTTCACAATCCTATCGTCCAAAATACTCTAAATTCGCAAAAATCCGTAAATATTCCCATAAAAACAAATCACAATTCACTTCCACTTCACAGAAACTGACAGACATTGCCAGATATGGAATGACGTTTATTTTTCAATTTATTTTACTGATCTAACTGATCCGGGTCACTTAGAAATTAAATTTTTATTAAATTATTTAATTATAATTGTTTCTGGCGAAAGCAACTTCATATCAATGTTTATTCATAGGGTAACAAAGCACATCGCTGTAAAATTATCAACATTTTATATAAATATTTATATTTTTCAACTACTCCAACTACTCCAATTACTCCACAGAGAATCAAACGAATTGTTATTAAACTATACTCTGTGTACTCTGTGGATGACTTGATAAAATCATGATGAAATTAAAGTCCCTAGATGAATATCTAGGGACTTTAGATGAAATTTCTACGCAGCGCCATCTATCCCTCTACTGGCAGAAACTCCGCCGTGTTTCCAAAATTCAAATGGCAGTTTCATCCGCCTGCTGACCATCTTTGAACTCCGCTGAACGTAAAACGAACAGCCAACTTTTCGATCAACTGACTTTATAAATGCGCGCGTTCATTTCATAGCGTTGAACATTTTGAACGGCAACTGAACCTCAACTCCCGTGTTTATAAATCCAGCTTTAGTTTTTGTTTTCTCTTTAAAACAATGGGCAGCCACTTTTTTAAGATAGTATATACAAAATTTAAAAGAATTGGAACCAGTACCTCACATGTGGGAGGAGGATGGGGTCTGCTGGTTTCCTAAGCTAAAAAATGAAATTAAGATGCACCAGTGTAATGCAGCATCTCTTCCAGATAAAAAGCATTCGTGGGCGGAGGGAAGACATCACTACTACTACCCACATAGCAAAATAATATACCTAGCAGGTGCTCAGAATAAACATTTTTGGTATAAGGATATTGGAAATATGTTCTGAGCATGTGCTAAGAATTACACTTATATATTCTGGTAATGTGCTCAGCATAACCTTTTGGCCGCAAGTAGTATGTGCTATGCACTTGGCTTAAGAATGTTCTAAGAATATTTTAAAATATGCTAAGAATATTCTTGTTTTTATACATATAGCATATTCTGTGAACATACTATAAAAATTAGGGAGGTAAATTTCGTTCAGCACAGGTAGACAGTTACGTCACATCATGACATCTTTCTCTAAAATATCCAAATACATGCGTAAAGAAACTGTCTACCTGTGCTGAACGAAATATATACTACACTTTTCTAGGTATCCAATGGAAATTTTAAATAATAGGAAATCATATACTTACAGCTCCCATTGGTAGATAATATTTAAAAATAAAACAAAAACCCATGTTCCATTAACAAAAATATACAAAAATTAACGTAAACATATCCAAAACGTAGTAAATCTACAATAATGATACTAAATTGGCAACACTGTTTCGTATTAATCGTATTGCAGCTTCGAAGAGCCGCGACCAGAAGGCGCTGAACTCCGCTGAAGACGCGCACGGTTTGGAACCATGGTTGAATTTCAGAATATCGCCTATTTTTCGGATAAAATAGCCAAAATATGCGATGTTTTGAGCAGGAGGACCGAGTTGTTGTATATATCCAGCAAAGTATATTGAAGTATATAGCTAAATATTCTTGGCATATGATAAGAATATATGCACAAGAATATACTTTAAAGAATATAGGTGGCACATGTCCATTTATTCCTGGAACATGCTCAGAATATAAGTATAAGGATATAAGTTCACGCACATGCTAGGTATATGCTATAGATATGAATATGCTTTCATTGCTATGTGGGTATTATTATTTTGCAAAAGCCTCGACCTCTTTCTGTAAAATGTAGATGAATGTCTAAATGCCTTTTTAGTGTTTTTTTTAGGCATAATAAAAAAAATTAAGTTTGTTTACAAAAACTTTTTATTAGGTTATGTTCATGATGTTTATTAGGCCGCAAATGCTACTTAATGGGTTGTATTTACGGACGTAAATAGAGATACGTAAATTAGGTTAAAAATATGAACATAAAATACAACAAAATATAATTGGACGTTACTTTAGGGATTATCAGGACGTACAAAAGACGTATCCTATTCGGAAAACGGGAAGACGTCGGGCTAGTTCAAGTATAGGTACGTCGTAAAAGCCAACGTTGGAACGACGTTGGGAAATTAATAAAAATGGTACGTTGTTATTTTGTACGTCGACAGATCGTTGGATTTACCGACTCGGATCCAACGACGTCACTTTTAATAGGAAAGCGATGTCACCAGTCGTATCACCAGCACCCGACCTAAATTTGCACAAAGTCTGACGTCGCTTCAGGTCAGATTTAGTTCGAAGTCAGATAGATGCTACTTGGGGACTGTTAACAAATTCCGTTCGTAATTTTTGTTTTATATATCATTTATTTCTTCAATTTTAAATGGAATCGAAATCCCAAAAAATACGACCGAAACGATGTTTCTTTACGGCACAAATCGCAACCCACACGTAATCAGGCCGGTGCAGCTAAATAATTAATACGTTGTGTGAGTACATTATTAATTATAATGATACCAATTAAAAACAAAACATTACCTTCCAAACTATGTCCCTCTGAAAGTCGCCTAAATACGATGACGCATCTTATAATAATGTAAACTCGTCTTGTGCATTTCATCTCGCACATTTGAGACCACAAACGAATCAAAAGTTCTGTATAACTATATAATAGTTTTTGGACGCTACAAAAATACTTTAATTATCTTTTTCTGAGAAACATGCGATCAATAATTTTCTAGGACATGAACAGGGATTATACGCACTAATAAAAATTCTTTTAGAGAAAAATTACAACCCGTGAATTGTTTTTGTAATGAACGAAGAATTTTAGAAAAATCTTGGTAATACACAAAGCACTAAAACCAATTACAGTTCGAGAGATAGGGACTGTTAACAAATTCCCTTCGTAATTCTCGTTTTATATCTTTTATTTCTTCGATTTTAGATGGAATCAAAATCCCGAAAAATACGACCGTAGCGATTTTTCTTTACGGCATGAATCGCGACCCTCACGTATTCCCGGATCCGGAAACCTTTGACCCAGATAGATTTCTTCCGGAGCAGCAGACGACCAGACACAACTACGCGTATATACCGTTTAGCGCCGGGCCTCGCAACTGCATTGGTAAGTTGAGTTATGGATTTTTAGTTTTTTCGTGAGGCTACGAAATAAGGTAGGTCGACGTGGAGTACATGGGCGGGGATAAAATAATTTATCAGATTAAAACAAAAAATACAAACACAATAATTAAAAAAATATTAGTAAGTCATATTAGATTTTTCTTATTTTAAAAATATTGTAGGGTCTAACAAAATTAAAAAGAGACTAGACAAGTATATCTAGTGTACAAAAAAATATATAATAAATCAATTTAGAAAGCAAATAGTATTCCACCAAATAATGTATATTTTTTTCAATTGTCACAAAAGTATTATTTTTTGCGACGCGATATATAAAAAAGCAATTTTTAATGCCTAAACATAAAAAAAGCCTAAGCATAAAAGTACGAAAATATATTATTAAACTGACAAAGTTTCAAGTTCAACGAGTCCAGTAACCATAGTTTATCGATATACAGGGTGTCCCAGAAATGAGTGCAGATATTTTAAGGGGTGGTAGATCTGGCCAAAAGAAACATATTTTCTCTTTACCATTTTTAAAATAAATTGAAAATAACCGAGTTATTTAACTTTGAAAGTTTAAAAAAAATGCGACATTTTGAGAGCCGCCGGGGGAAATCGGCAATCTCGCGGATCTCGGCTTGTTCGCCGCCCGCTGTTGCCACATCGACTAGAAAGACTTAAAAAGTACTTGCAAAATCCCACACCACCCAAGAGGTTCTGCAGAGGTGCGTTACTTTTTTTAAGTGGGTGATCGCCAGTAGCCCTACTTTCCACATTCCACAAAATAAACTAAAAGAAAAAAAAACTTACCAAACAATAAAAAAAGATATCCCTATAGCAGAGAGATACAACTGCAGAGCTTTCTTTTTTTCCATTTTACCACTCTTAAAACTGCACATAACACTACACTAAATAACATCACTTCACTACAATTCTTAACAACACTTTGCAAATTTTGAACTGTGGAAATATTGGCTCCCCTATTAATTTTAGAGCTAAATCGTAAATGGTTTTTAAAGATACATTACAAATTTGCACAAGGGGATCCAATATCTCGACAGTTCAAAATTTGCATGGGATATCCTATATTTCCAACGATAATGCACCACCCGGTATACCCTTCGCTTCTTGACTGCATGCTATTATAATAATTGTTCAAAATGACGACCGCCATTTCCAATACATGCTCTCCTTCTGAGCATGGAATTTTTAACGTTTTGCAGCAATTCTTTGTTGCTTTTCTCGAATCCCTCAAATGCTGAACCATACTTACAAAGATTCGAGCATTAGAGATTTGTCTATTCGGATACTCTTCGGAATAAAGTCTCCGAGCTTCTACAGTATATATTGTATACTCCATCGCGATTTGCCTATACCGATACAAAAATATGCACTAACGAACATTTCACAACACTTTAAACACAATCTCCGATCACATTCTCGAATTTTAAAAGCTCGATACTATTAGAAATTAGATCGATTTCTAATAGTGTACATGCTTTGTGTTATGGAGTGTAGAGGTTTGGTTTGGTTGCGTAATTCCTTCAGTGTTTTCGAAATCGTTGTCGGGGTTGCGTCGGTTTTGAAGAAATGTCGAAGAAAACCCCGGACTGTCTTTCTACCATCAGCCGCCGGATATAAGTAGTTATTAAAGCAAGTTTTTTTAACATTTTTTATTGTATTTATGAGTTTTAACATTTTTTATTGTAGTTATGTTTGATTATTATCATGTGAAAAATTTTAAATAATATTTTAAAAGTGATAGGCATGTGATAGGTTTGTGATGTTCAGTTTAATAGATATTTGGTGTGTATGTGTTTGCGTATATGTGTGCTGGATAAAAAACACTTTCATTCAAAGGGTAAGCTCTAACTAAACATTAAAGGTTATAATTGTTTATTGAAACGATTGAAAATATTTCTTAATATGGCAAAAAAAGAAGCTATAATAATTGTTAAAATTTATTTTTTCAGTTTACTCCACTGTAAAAAGTATTTAAAATATTGCGCGTTTCTCTAGAATTAGTAGAGCAATCTACACTAATATGAATAAAATTAATTTTCGTATTTTTTTCTGTAGCAACTTAAAATAATTGAATTTATAGATAAACATGCAGAATGTGGGTATGGTAGGAGGTGGCAACGTTGCATTCTCTCCGACACTCTCTATGCCCGGTAAACGAATTTCCCGGGGAGTGAACAGTGGCACTCAAAAGTTTTTTAACATTTTCTCTATACTACCAGTTAAAATATCTGCACTCATTTCTGGGACACCCTGTATAATTACATACAAGGTATAACTTTTAAATCTTTTTATGTTATTTGGAATGTTTCAAACTGTTTAAAAAATGATTTGTGGCGTTTGAAAAAAAATAGCATGTTCTATTCGGACTAAAAATGATTTTTGTGCCTCACTGACGCTCGGACACCGCTCGTCCGTCAACCGTACAGCCTAGCCACAAAAAGTGTCATTTTTACTCCTAATAGGACAATATACTATTATTAGTTAATATTATATATTATAACTTTATAACTAACTATAATATATAAGGATAAAGATAATATATAAATAAAATCAAGAATTTAATTGTTAACAAAATTAAGAGGATATATTTTTAAAGAATTGAGGATATATTCCTCTCCTTTATTTTGGCCTCTCCTCTTCAAATATATTTGTTACATAATTCTTGCTGATATGATGCGCATGTCTTTAAAAGATATTGTTTTACCTGCAAATCGGAATTATCTATAGAATCATTGTTCTTTAGCCAAAGACAAGTTTAGGTTTAAATTGAATTAAAATTATCTATAAAAATAATTTTTTTCTTCTCATTATTTTTTGAACTATGATACACAATTCTTTTTAAAAAATATTTTTAAATTATAAATATAACGTATTAAATAGTTCATAAATATTGGATAAATTTCGTAAAAATCCATAAATGCTTAACTAGCAAATCTCTTTAGTCCACTTTCCTTTTGTCACAAAACAAAATTAAAATGTTAATACATATGATATGCCGGCTTCAATTAAAGGATTAATTATATTTATTATAAGTATAATAATAGTCTTAGATCAACGAGAATTGAAAGTGGAGTTATGTTATTTTGATTCAAAATTATCATAGCTATATAATTATCTTATCGTCGTTTATTTTGCTGAACAGACTAAATAGAAAATTTCGTATAATGTTTGAAATAATAAATAAATACTATCTTAATTAGGTGTTTCTTAAGGGTTTTTGAATTTTATAGATAGTCTTTGAGAACCTTCAAGAGCCTTTAAAAATACCTACTTCATCTATGTTGACAAGCAATTATCCTCTAATAACATTCATAATAATTTCAGTGCTCCATAGGATGCCATTTATGCATCTGATAACTCTTCGTGCCTGTATTACTCTGTTATTATAATATATATTATATTATAATATCGATCCCAGGTACCTGTAATCTTCACATGCTCTAATTTCCATATTATTGTCCAAAATAAGATTTCCTGTATTGGCTCCAATATAGAACAAAAACAATTAATATGGTACGGCCACGTTCAGAGAATGCACAATGAAAGAATTCCAAAACAAGTCATTCATTGAATACCGCCTGGTAAACGAAAGAGAGGACGTCCCAAGAAAACATGGATGGAAGGAATAAGAAGGTCGATGAGCGAGAAAAATCTGACCGAAGATCAATGGGAAAATCGCACAGGGTGGAAGTTAGGCATCGGACAACGTCGTAGGACGTTCTGACCCGGACGACATAAAAAACTAATATATTTCATGTTGTGTATTGTGCCATTGTGTTCACTGAGTCAATAGTTGACATTCCCATTGGCACAAAAATAAATGGCATTCAAATAATTAATAATATCCGATGACATCGTAATCTTGGCAGACAATGCAAATGTTCTCCAACTCCTTCTAAATAAGGTCGACAACGAAAGCCTAAGATTGGATCTAAAAATTAATATCAGAAAAACTAAATTTATGGCTGTTAGTAAAAAAAACATCATAATTCACATAAATGGAGAGGACATCAAACAAGCCACACATTTTAAATACTTGGGATGCACGATTAACAAATCAAATCTTATCTCCTGTTCTGGATAGAACAGGAGATAAAATGTAAGATCAAACAATCTACAACAACTTTCCTAAAACTTTTTTTAAAATATTTCTCACAGATAGGAACTTAAACTTCGGTCTTAGATACAGAATGGTGAAGTACTATGTCTGGTCCGTTCTGTTATATGGTGTGGAAGCATAGAGACTGAAAGTAACAACTATGAATAGAATTGAAGCCTTCGAAATATAAACCTTACAACGAATGCTGAGAGTCTCCCGTGAGAAATGAAGACATTCTCAGAGGAACTGGTCTAGAAGAACGTGAACTCTTCAAAATCACGAAGAAGAGAAACATAGCCTAATATTACGTGAAGAACGCTATCACTTTCAGCGTCCAATTCTCCAGGGTAAAATCGAAGGAGGTAAAAATGGAATAGGCCTAAAAAAGCTATCCTTGTTGAGAAATATTCGTCACTGGGCAGATATACAGTACCTCCAAGTACTCCAAGTCGCTGCAACTAGTAGAGCTATCTGATGAGAAAGAATTGACATTGGATACTGATGCATCTATTTGAGGCGTTAGTAAATTAAAATAAAAATGGCAATGAAAATGAGGCATTCTTTTATGTTATTAGGGATATCTTTATACTAATAGATAATATGTAAATATTTATAACAAATAACTGGTATTACATTTTATTAGATAGAAAATAGTACTTCTCTGAGTTCTTTTTTATATTTTAATCGATGGTCTACGTGCCTGTTCCTGTATTTGCCATCTAAATGTTTCATTCGGTTTCCACTCGAACATGCAATTTGGCGTGGGACGTCTAATGGATTTTTCATTTACGTTAATAATTCAGTGAGATAGGGCCACAATTACAGTTAAACGATTAGGACGTATTATAAGAAAATCATCATTAATTCTTCCTAAATACTCTCGACTAAAGATAAACACAAGTGATATCGAGTTAATTAATGTTAAAATTAACTCAGGTATACTTTTAGTGTAGATAGGCGTAGATAATACATTTTGATAGAGTAAATATGAACGATTATGTAAACTAGATTTTATTTGAAGTGAAATTTATTTACAAATTGCCTAAATTACTGCCGGCGGTATAAATAATTGACTAAAGAAAGACAAGGGCCGTTCCTGGCGAGCGCGCAGTGCGTGCACGCACGTAGGCGCAACATTTTGGGGGCGCGATATCGAAGTTTCAATCAGTACTTTGTAACAAAAAACCGATGCGCTTTCTTGTTAATAAACAAATACTTAAACATACAGCATAGGATAAAGTTTGCTTAGCGTCTTTTTTGCGTTGGCCGCACCGAATAAATAAGTCTAGGGCAATCTGCTGGCAACACATTGATCTCATCTATTTATTTTTCATTTTATGGATTTTATGGAAAGCACTGTTCATTAAAATGTTGTATCTTATGTTATAGGTCTTGTTTCTCTCTACAATTTCCTGTCTCGCACAATATACCGTTTGTGTCGGGGAAGGGATCACAGTTTCATAGTTGTCGATTTTACAGAAATCAGTGCATGTATATTATTTCGTATATTTTTCATTTTATTGATTTTTTGGAAATCACTGTTCTTTAAAATGTTCTATCCTATGTTATAGGGCTTGTTTCTCTCTACAATTTCCTGTCTCACAATATACCGTTTGTGTCGGGGAAGGGATCATAGTTTCATAGTTGTCAATTTTCGAAAGAAATAAGTTCATGTATATTATTTCGTATATTTTTCATTTTATTGATTTTATGGAAAGCACCGTTCATTAAAATGTTGTATCCTATATTATAGGGCTTGTTTCTCTCTACAATTTCCTGTCTCACAATATACCGTTTGTGTCGGGGAAGGGATCATAGTTTCATAGTTGTCGATTTTCGAAAGAAATCAGTACATGTATATTATTTCGTCTATTTTTCATTATATTGATTTTATGGAAAGCACTGTTCATTAAAATGTTGTATCCTATGTTATAGGGCTTGTTTCTCTCTACAATTTCCTGTCTCACAATGTACCGTTTGTGTCGGGGACGAGATCATAGTTTCATAGTTGTCGATTTTCGAAAGAAATCAGTATACACGTATATTATTTGGTATATTTTTCATTTTATTGATTTTATGGAAAGCACTGTTCCTTAAAATGTTGTATCCTATGTTATAGGGCTTGTTTCTCTCTACAATTTCCTGTCTCACAATGTACCGTTTGTGCCGGAAAAGAAATCATAGTTTCATAGTTGTCGATTTTCGAAAGAAATCAGCACATGTATATTATTTCGTCTATTTTTCATTATATTGATTTTATGGAAAGAACTGTTCATTAAAATGTTATATTCTATGTTATACGGCTTGTTTCTCTCTACAGTTTCCTGTCTCACAATGTACCGTTTGCGTCGGGGACGAGATCATAGTTTCATAGTTCTCGATTTTCGAAATAAATCAGTACATGTATATTATTTCGTATATTTTTCATTATATTGATTTTATGGAAAGCACTGTTCATTAAAATGTTGTATCCTATGTTATAGGGCTTGTTTCTCTCTACAATTTCCTGTCTCGCAATGTACCGTTTGTGTCCGGGAAGGGTTCATACTTTCATAGTTATCGATTTTCGAAAGAAATCAGTAGGTACATGTATATTATTTCCGATTTTTAGTTTATTGTTCTTATGTATTTCATATAAAATGGGTCAGTTTTTTTCTTTAGAGTACTATTTTTGTTACTAAATATTTTTGTGGTTTTGTTTGTTTTATTTATTTAATAAATGTTTTTATACTTTAATTAGGATAGTTTTTTTAAATTTTCAATTACATATTGCTCGTTTGTCGCAGAATATAAATTCTTTGAATTTTTGAGATTAAGATTAAAATATATAATTGATTTAAATATAAAAAAGGCGCACCAAAGAATGCTGCCCGTAGGCGCCAGATACCCCAGGAACGGGCCTGCGTTGTATCCTAATTTTTCTTTAATTAGTGTTAGTTCTTGTCAATTTTTAGTAAATTACGTTTAGATTCCTTGTCAAAACATCTATTGTCATTCCCCAGCCGTGTTTGACGCCTTTTTTCGATTATGCTGTATATCTTATTTTTTACATTTAAATCTAAATAGATCATTATAATTTATTAATATTTTTATTTCAGGACAAAGATATGCCATGTACAGTTTAAAAGCAACTGTTGCCAAGTTCTTACTGCAATACAGAGTAACTGAGGATCCAGGCTTTGAAATGGAAATTGGAACATGTTCTGTTCTTAAATCGATGAATGGTTATAAAATGAAAATATCTCTAAGAACAGAAAAATATAAATAATACTATTTACACTAGAAATGTGATTCTTAAATGTAATTTTGTGACAAAAAATTGGTATTATAGCTAGTGATGTTGGTAGCGAATATTTCCATTCAAATTTTGCAGGAAATTTCAAAAATTTCCGAAATATTCGTTCCCAAAATCGCGAATATTCGCAAAAATCCGAATTTTGCAAGGAATTTCTTTTCAAAATTCAAGACATTGAGCAAAAATTTAACGAAAGTGTATCAAGTATGCCGATTCTTAAGTCAGAAGGAAAAGAATGCTTCTCCGCCTTACAAAATAAAAAACCTATGGCTCTTGAACCAATGCATTTTGCCGCGAATCTCTTGGACCCCTGTTTCCTGGGCTTCCTGGGAGAGCACCTTAACAATGAAGAACACATAGCCGCTATGGAATTTATCAACAATATCACCAACAATCCTCAGTTTGTCAATAATAAGCCATTTTTACAGATTATTAAACAAATTATTGCGCCAAATCGGGTTTATGGGCTCTCGACTACGTTTGGATGTCAGTTAAAAATGTAGACTGTCTAAGTTGGTGGGAAGCAATGTGTAAAAATACTCATTTGAAATATTTAGCTGTTGCTCTGCTGTCTTTACCAACGTCATCTGCAGCCACAGAGAGAAGTTTCAGTACTTACAGTTTTATCCATACTAAAAAAAGGAATCGCTCAATTGCACAAAGAGCCGGTAAAATAATGTTCGTAGCTCATAACAATAAATTATTACTACAAAAACAAAAAGTGGATATGGAGCATGATATTCAACATGAAATTCCTCCAGAACCACTAGAACTCGTGGAGGTAGAGGTCCATCCTTCAGAATCAGAACCAGATGATACATCAAATATATCTGATTTGGAAACAGAAATTGACGAAGACAGTACTACTACTACTATAATACCCTATGAAGATGGGACCAGCTCGGCGCCTGATATTCCGGAATAGAATAATTCAGTTATTTGTGTTTTACGTTTTTTAAATTTATATTTCGTACTTTTTTGTTTTTTTTTAAATTCATAGTAATAGTTTGTGGTTTATGCACAAAATACAAATGTTACCAAATGATTTTTGTTATGGGTTATGTTTATGACTTTTATGGGTTATGTATTGTTTATTAAAAATATAACAACTAATATTATGTTTATTGTTTTTTTTTTCCACTTACATGTTGGTATCAAATGTCTATCTAATTTATTCCTTTACTGTATCGACAAAAAAATTTCTTGTTCATCAAACGGTTGTCGAAAAAAAAATAAATATACTTATTAAGAGCCGCCTTAATTCGTTTTCTAACGATTTTTTTATTTTTTAGATTAATTAGGAAACACCCTGTATATGCATATCACAGGCAACCAAATAAATTAGTAACCTCTAAAAATTATTCTTCCTACCACTAGCGACATACCGTGTTTTTAGTGTATACTAAATTATTTTATCAAAATTTCACCATATAAGTTTCCAGGCAATGGCCCTAATATGCAAATTTTATAACCGTTATTATAATTTTTCTGAAGTTGTTAAAGTTTGTCATGGAAATAATCCATAATAAAAATATAAAATATCTATCATAAAAATAAACTCGAGATCATAGGCGCCGTTAAATAACTCCACATTATAGAACAAACCACTAATATATTTAATTCTCTTTCTGCACTGTAGAATATGGCAATTTAAGTAAAGAACAGGATTAAAACCAATGATTAAAACCCCTAGTCCTGGCGCATTCGCCAAATTTTCGTAAAGGCCCCTTATATAAGAATAGACACCCAGGTACAATTAATATTAATAATATATTATTATTATTATTAATTTTATAATTTGTCTCGTATATACATTCTATATGGAATACATATAATATTTTGATTTTGTTACTAATATTTTATATTGTATTTTCTGCATCTAAAAAATATATAAAATGTAACTCAGCCAGTTCTCTATTGTTCAGCCTTCGTTTTTGAATTGTCTTGTGAAATATTAGTCTTAAATAATTCATTAATTATTTAACTTAAGATTAGGCTTCTAATAAATAAAAAAAATACAATCAGAGAATATCAAAGTGTATGACTAGGAAAACAAATTCGAAAAAACACTTAAAAATGTAGAGACATCATTAAGAAAGAATAAGTGGGATTCAATCTCACAATTCTTGCAATTATTAGTGGAAATAATTTTAAAATTAAGCTTACTGCTAGGAAGAGTTAAAAAATTATTATTATTTCTCAAAAAAATAAAAAATAAATTAAAATGAACGAATAATAGTCGATTTTTTGACCCACCCTAAGGTACACGTGCTCCTGGGATTGAAATATGCCATTCCTAAAAACGATTTCCACTTATTTAAGACTCACCCTATACAGGGTTGTTCACCACATACGACACGGAAAATTGTAGCTAAACGATTAGATTTTTACAAATTGTAAGTTTTGGGTTCGTTGAAGGACTATTAGAGGTACAATTTAAAAATATTTTTACAAGATACAGAGTGTCCCAAATAAATAAAAAATATCAAAGTTGTATTTTTTTAAATAGATCATCCTGTATATTATTGCATTTTTAGTTTCTACGATTAAAATAAAGGTAAATTTGTTTAAGGTTTATTACACTTAAACCTTACCGTTTTTGAAATATTTTCAATTTTGTGAACTTGCAGTATAAATTTTAAGGCTTCATTTCTCCGAGGGTATGAAAGTTTTTAATAGTAAAGTTTATTTATTGATCAGTTATTGTGTTGCAATAATAAAAATTTTACTACCTTATACAGAGTGTCTAAATATTTATTTTAAATAATTATTAGCTTTAAACGGCAATAACTTGCTTAATTTAAATCGAACACCTTGTATATTTTATGAGAATCAGATGCATAATTAAATTGTCTATCAAATTGTGTTATACCATTTTTTACCTATCTCTTCAAGTTTCCTTAGAAAATGCATTTTCTTATAATTTTGAACTCATTTATCAATATACCCATGGAATACTGATATTTTAGACTATTTTTAAAGATGTACCAAATTTTTAAAGAGTACAGATACTAATATTGTCGATATAGTTCGTTTATTTCATTAAAAAATAAAAAAAGCTGTTTAAATATTTGTTAAAGAGGATCAATTAATATGATTCCAGTATTCAAACTACATTAATTGACTCTTTGCGTGGATTAATAATAATTGCTCCAAATACTAAAAAACTGAATTACGTATGTGTATTAGACAGTGTAGTAAAAAAACTAACACCTTCAAAATGATATTTCATTTATTCAAAAATGCTTATTTATAACAACAGAGACGTTCATTTTCATAACTTATTATTATATTGATTTCTGATTCAAATCTACATTTATTTAGAATAATTTATTAACGCACACAATTAAGTATGTAATTCATTAGTATTTGGGCGGAAATACTGGTGGTATATTTAATTAATGGTATACTCTTTTATAAAGATTTAAATAGTTTTCTTTTTGCATACAAATGGGCTAGTAATATTATCGTTTTACTAAAAACGATAATATAGTATCTGTACTCTTTAAAAATTTGGTACATCTTTAAAAATAATCTAAAATGTCAATAGTCCATGGGTATATTGATAAATAAGTTCTAAATTACAAGAAAATGCATTTTCTACGGAAACTTAAAGAGATAGGTAAAAAATAGTATAATATAATTTGATAGACAATTAAATTGTGCATCTGATTCTCGTAAAATATAGAAGGTGTTCCATTTAAATTAAACAAGTTATTGCCGTATGAAGCTAATAATTATTTAAAATAAATTTTTAGACACTCTGTATAAGGTAGTATTATTTTTATTATTGCAACACAATAACTGATCAGTAAATAAACTTCAGTAAATATGTGCCATCTCTCGTGGGGAGATTCCTCACGTAAAAATAAGATTTATTTTTCATATCAACATAGGTCCGATTCTGCTTTGTTTCGTAGCTACAGGGTGCTAAAGTTTTAATATTTTTTCGATTTATTATAATTTTCTTCCAAGTACTTTCATCATTTTGAATGAAATTTTGACAGTAAAAGTTACTACAAGTGCGATGATAAAAGTGTCTGAAACATTTTGTAAACAATAGTGTAAGCAGTTTTATGCCGATTAAAAGTGGCATCTTAATATTTTGTCGATTTCGTCATCCTTGATGAGATAAATGCAATTTTATTAATTTTCCTTGATTCAAGTCTATACAGGGTGGGCCACTGAAAACTTACAATGGCTATAATTTTTAAACTTTAAATCAAAAAAATAAAAAATACCGTTTCTATAATATCGAGGGGGAATACATATGACGTATTTTTTGAACCACCCCGACTTACCCCTTAGGCGGCACCCCTATATACTCACTTGAAAATCTTAAAGGGCAACAGCCTACTTGTGGCGCCTTTTTGGAAAGTCCATGAAAAATATACATCATAAAGTTTTTAGGGTGAAATTGAAAAACTACCCCTTACACGCAAAATTAGGTGGACATTAATGAGAAAAATGATTTTTTTCCGCATAAGTTACAAATTGGGATCCAGCTAAATGAGGCAAATAAGGTATTTTTCAAACTACCCCGACCCACCCCTAAAAAAATAGTCGATTTTTTGACCGACCCTAGGTACACGCCGCACCGGCCGTGCTCCTGGTGTTGAAATACAGGGTGTCCGGAAATTAATGCAACAAAATTTAGTGTCATAGATTCTTGAAAAAAAATAGGTGACCCGTATTTTTAATTTTTGGCGAGTGGCCACCCTTTTCGAATTTACAGCCCCCTGAATTTCGCCCCTGAAAAGAGTTTTTTTTAATATCTCAGGGCCCTATTGGACGAAAATCACTAAATTTGGTACACGTTGTTTTACCATAAAATGATATTTTTTGATGCTATAAACTTTTTTTTATTTTCATCAGTGGCGTCCCTACAGTATTTAAACTAAATATTATCGAAGAAAAAAATGGTACGCCACTGGTTTTTTCTAAAATAAAAATTATTTTTAAAATCTATATTAAATTTGGAACAAATTTGATCTCTTGACTTTTTTTTTGTTCGACACACCGATTTCGCGTAAAAAAATAAAAACCATTTCCATACATGACCAAATCGCTAAAATTTTAAGGTAAATTTTCATAGCAAAATTTAAAAAACGGCAATTTAGGTTTTTGGACAGTTTGGTTCACACTTAGGTAATAAAAACAACAATAATAGAAGAGTATAAGAATAATAAAAAATTATTTTAAACTTTTTTTTTAAAAAGTTTGCTGTTTTAAAAATGTTGCCATTGGAAATTTACGGTAAAATTTTAGCGATTTAGTCATGTATGAAAATGGTTTTTATTTTTTTACGCGAAAACGGTGCGTCGTACCAAAAAAAGTCAAGAGATCAAATTTGTTCCAAATTTAATGTAGATTTTAAAAATAATATTTATTTTAGAAAAAAAAACAGTGGCGTACCATTTTTTTCTTCAATAATATTAAGTTTAAATACCGTAGGGACACCACTGATGAAAATAAAAAAAGTGAATAGCATCAAAAAATGTAATTATATGGTAAAACAACGTGTACCAAATTTAGTGATTTTCGTCCAACAGGGCCCTGAGATATTAAAAAAAAAACTCTCTTAAGGGGCGAAATTCAGGGGGCTGTAAAACCGAAAAGGGGAGCCACTCGCCAAAAATAAAAAATACGGGTCACCTATTTTTCTTTCAAGAATCTATGACCAAATTTTGTTGCATTAATTTCCGGACACCCTGTATACCGTTTCTAAAAACTAGTTCCACTTATTTAAGACTCACTCTATACAGGGTTGTTCACCACATACGACACGGAGTATTGTAGCTAAACGATTAGATTTTTACAAATTGTAAGTTTTGGGTTCGTTGAAGGACTATTAGAGCTACAATTTAAAAATATTTTTACAAGATACAGAGTGTCCCAAATAAGTATAAAATATCATAGTTGTATTTTTTTTTAAATGGAACACCCTGTATATTATTCTATTTTTGGATTCTGCGATTGAAATAAAGGTAAACTTGATTAAGGTTTATCACACTTAAACCTCACCGTTTTTGAAATATTTTTAATTTTAAGAAATTGCAGTAAAAATTTTAATGCTTCATTTCTCCAAGGGTATCAAAATTTTTAATACTAAATATTTACTGAAGATTATTTATTGATCAAATATTGTGTTGCAATAATAAAATTTTTTTTACCTTATACAGAGTGTCCAAAAATTTATATTAAATAATTACTAGCTTTAAACGGCAATAACGTGTTTAAGTTAAATGTAACACCCTGTATATTTTACGTGAATCATATGCACAATTTAATTGTCTATCAAATTTTACTATACCATTTTTTACCTATCTCTGCAACTTTTCGTAGAAAATGCATTTTCTTATAATTTAGACATCATTTATCACTATACCCATGGAATATTGACATTTCAGATTTTTTTTAAGCAACATATATGCACAAATGTACAGGTGGTAAATATTGCAAGCCTATTGGTATACCAAAAAAACTATTTAAATCTTTATAAAAGAGTATACGAATTAAATATACCACCATTATTTCCGACCAAAAATTAGTTAATTACATACTTTTAAATTGTTTTAATTAATAAAGTATTCTAAATAAATGTGGATTTGGCTCAGAAATCAATATAATAATAAATTGTGAAAATAAACGTCTCTGTTTTTATTAATCAGCATTCGTCAAAAAATGAAATAAAATTTATAAGGCGATACTTTTTACCACACTGTCTAATACACACACAAAATTCAGTTTTTTAGTATTTGGAGCAATTATTATTAATCAACATAAACAGTCAATTAATGTAGTCGTAGTAATAGTAGTAGTTAATGTAGTGAATACTGGGATCATATTAATTGGTCCTTTTTAACAAAAATATTTAAACAGTTTTTTTATTTTTTTTTATGAAATAAGCGAACTATATCGACAATATTAGTATCTGTACTCTTGGAAAATTTGTTACATCTTTAAAAATAGTCTAAAATGTCAATATTCCATGGGTATAGTGATAAATGAGGTCTAAATTATAAGAAAATGTATTTTCTACGAAAACTTGAAGAGATAGGTAAAAAATGGTATAATACAATTTGATAGACAATTACATTGTGCATCTGATTCACGCAAAATATATAGGGTGTTCCATTTAAATTAAACATGCTATTGCCGTTTAAAGCTAGTAATTATTTAATATAAATTTTTGGACACTCTGTATAAGGTAGTAATTTTTTTATTATTGCAACACAATATCTGGTCAATAGATAATCTTCAGTAAATATTTAGTATTAAAATCTTTGATACCCTTGGAGAAACGAACCCTTAAAATTTTTACTGCAATTTCATAAAATTGAAAATATTTCTAAAACGGTAAGGTTTAAGTATGATGAACCTTAATCAAATTTACCTTTATTTTAATCGTAGAATCTAAAAATAGAATAATATACAGGGAGTTCCATTTAAAAAATACAACTATAATATTTTTTACTTAGTTGGGACACTCTGTATCTTGTAAAAATATTTCTAAATTGTAGCTCTAATAATCCTTCAACGAACCCAAAACTTACAATTTGTAAAAATCTAATCGTTTAGCTACAATACTCCGTGTCGTATGTGGTGAACAACCCTGTATACTTAAAGCTACATAAAGTTGTTAATCCTTAATAAGGTTAACTAGTTAGTGAGTTAACTACTATACGACAATGTACGTAAAAGGCAGTGTACATGTTGCATTCTGTTGGCCTTTTATAGCTCGGGAAACTTGGGACTAGGTAAATTGAACCGATGCAATTTTCAGGAAACTCTGCTCGGAGCGCAAAGTCAATTTAGTCGTTGGAAAACCTATTTAGAGACGCTGGTTATAGATAAATTACATCGAAATACGCTTATGGCCTTTCCCGCGAGCTTCTTAATTTGCAATAGGACGTCATCGGAAGGGAAAATGGAAAATAATCACAGCGAAGAGTTCGGAAAAGCAAACTTACCATTGATCGGAATGTACGTAACGTTTCCTCCGTTGAAATCAATGGAAATACCGTTTTCTCCCTGAAACAAAAATCTAATTTAACTGTGTGTTTAAATCATTGTATGTAAAATAATGTTCTAAATATTTTATTGAATTAAAAATGCAAACTTAATGTATGACTAGGATGTATTTCAGGAAAATATATTAAATTCTATAGGATGGCTCAAAAAAGTGTGAGTAGAATCGAGTGATGTGAGTGATGTGAGAAGGATGTGAGTAAATATATTTCGGTAATTTCAGAGATATTAATAAATAAGTAAAAAATATATATTTTTAAAAAATATTACTAATACCAAGAATTGTCCTGAAATCAAAACTAATACAATGCCTCTCAACTTTCTGTCTGTAGTGTATAATATAAAATAATTAAATTTAAAATATATTGCATAACTTTAATTGGCAAGTCTCAATAGGTAATAGACCAAGAATACGTCGATGCAATCATCAAGGATAATTGCAACTAAAATAACAATTAGAGGAATCGATGCATTATGTATTAAATTGTTTATTTATGTACATATTTCAACGCTATGCAATATCTGGAAATTATTAGTCAATATTTGTCATTAGGAACCGTTACATTTCATTAATTTCAATTGCAAATTTCTCCGTTATTTAAAGAGATGAACAGGGTTTAAATGAATAAGTGCGTTGACACTAATTTGAGAAGCTAGTTCCTTTTTGAAAATAACGGGATTTTTGTATAATTTTTTTCGATGTGGCGTATCTTCAAAGATCGCTTGAACAGAGGATGAAATCCATTTTGGTTGAAATCCTACGGTATCTCCGTTATTAGGGAAGTCAAACTCCCGAGTCAACCCCACCAAATAACCATCTTAACCAACGCAAGTAACTCCACCAAATAATAAATCTGATCCCACCAAAAATAGTGAAACCAACGCAATCCGTATTTTGATTCCTATTAAATATTTACAGCTTTTTTTAAAAAATAACAACAGTTGTAAAAAAATAAAAAGTTATGGTCCGGCGTGAGATTTGAACCACGGACCTCTCGTTCACTAAGCAATGGCCTCAGTCACGGAGCCACAGCTAAGATTAGCTATTAGCCCGGCGTTACTTTCTGCTGCAAGGTACATTCCGTAAATGCGCATGGCACTCCCAAGTAGCATTTTCACGACTTGCGACCACATGTTTACTAGACACAACGTTGGATTAGTTACAAAAAATAGTTAGCTCCCTACCTTGGGTATTAAAATAAATTTAAACGTTTTTATAACGTTGTGCCGACGTTGGACTAGTACTACAGCAAAGTAGAAGCTTCTGCGACGTCGAATAAACGTTGTCTTGTAACCTTTTTTGCTTAAGTGATCTTTAGGTGATTCGGACAACGTAGTTACAACGTTGGACAATATAGAGTTTTCCGACGTGAGTTTCAGGACCTATTCCAACGTTATGCAAACGTCGTCTGTTTTACTAATTCCAACGTTGTTTAGATTTCCTTATTCTTACGTTGGTAGGACGTCGAGCCACTACCTTTTTGCAACTGTATTGAACCATAACCTTAAATCTTAAATTTTCACTTCATTGTTCTGTTCAGTCAGACAGTTCGGTGCTGTTTTTGTTTTTATAAAAAAACTTAATTAAAATGGGACATAAGAAAGGTACATATAAAACTAAATTTAAATATATATCGACATATTACCGATACTTTATTCACTCCCTCGTTTATTTAGAATATAGAGGGCGGCACAAGCTAGATTCTAGGATGACTAAATTAGGCAATCTTGCGACTAGTATACTACCTGTTAAGGATGAACTGCGACTTTATTAGTCCAGTATGCGACTACTCGAACTACTCCATCTTAATCTCCAAAACAACAAAGTGAAAGTCGCCATGTTGTTGAATAAGAAAATGTTTCGTTCCTAAAATAGCAATTCCTGCTTTTTGAATACATTAACTTGAAATATTTGGCCCTAAACACCACGCGGAAACAATTTTTTCGACTGCGAATAAATTATTCTCATTTTACTAAAAAAAATTCAAGAAATTTTTTAAAACTTCTTTAATTTTAAGGCCCATTAGTATTTTTCAAAGTAGAAACAATATATTTATCAATAAAGTTGTTTTCGTTTAACTTTTTTGCCTTGGGTAACGAGTTACAGAGTCGGTTAGTGTTTCAATAATTATGATCTTCAAACATCCTCCACACTTAAATACTTTTGTTTTGTTTTCCTTTTCTGCCATCCGGCATATGTCTCTAACTAAATCATAAAAATAATATTTTTACTATAATTATCCCAATTTAGGATAAAACGCGACTTAGACGCCATATTATTATAGTTTTGTATTTCTGTGAATTAGGATTTTAAACAACGTTGCAGTTTGTACTAAATTAGGCTGCTAGCCAACGTCGGTATCCAACGTCGTTTCGACCCAAAAATTATTCTCCAAACTAGTGCAGACTAGGGTTGGCACGAGGTTGTGCCGACGTTGCGCCCCGACGTTTGGTCGCGTGACACAACGTTGTCCCGACGTCCAAATGCTGCTTGGGCTGTCTTACATTCCATACACGCGTATGGCACTCGGAGTTTAATTGTTTTAAAATTCAAATCTAATCAATGGGATTGTGCTAGGTGCCGTATACATGTCCGGAATGTATAAATGCATACCGTGTGGTGCATCGTTATGTGGCAAATCCAAGTGTGCTGCCATTCCATACTAATGTCATATTTTCTAAAAAGGGTTAAACAAATGGGTTGAAGTGTATGATAAGATCAAGTAAAAAGACCGAGTCTCCCTATAAATTTACCTTTAAAAATCTATTTTTAGATATGTCATATTATGTTATTAATTCTCGTAAATAAAACTGACCATTGTGGTAAACAATTAAGTCGATTTTTATGGCCTTACCAATAACAATGAAAATATGTTATGTGCTTATATTTATTGCAATTTTATTACCATTGTTATTTGATGACATAAGGTTTATATTGCGGTACGATCTGCTCGATGGAAAAACCGATAAGCGGTGATGAAAATATTCAGGAAACTGTCGCTAGAACGTTTAACTGGTTGTTTTTCTCGGAGCCCGATAATAAGTGACCATAAAAAGAGCTTGACATGACCAAGTATTTTTAAATTGAATTCAGTTATTTTTACGACTCCCTATAAAAAAGTCAATCTAACTTTATTAAGATCTAAAATTGCATTCTCTTTCACTTTTGGCGACCGAATAAAAATACCTCTTTGCTTAGAGTGAAATCATTTTACTTAGAAGAAAACGTTTAACGGTTTTCAGCTTTTAAACATTCGAGAATGGGAATATCTGTTTCCGATATTCATTAATGTGAATAAGAATGCGAATGCAAATACAGTAAAACTTCCCATTTCGGCCACTTCTAAAAAGCGGTCACTTCTGTTAGCGGTCAATTTTCAGTTGTTTGAATTAATCTTAGGGGAATTCCTATATTAAAATATTTCTCAATAACGTTTGTCATTCCGGAAAGAGGTCATTTGGCCGCTTCAAAGGTACATTTTAGGGAAAAACCCATTAAATTTATTGCTCCAATACCGGCCAAAAACCGAACCCTTCGAACCTTTTTTTTTGTCTAACAAGAGCTGTTTCAGGACACTTTAGGAAAGTCCAAGCAATAAACATTTATAATTTGTTTGAGAAATAGGTACAGAGAGTGACAAATACAATACAAATTCGTCAGTAGTTTGCTGAAATTTTTGGGAGATATAGAATCAGTTTAGTTTCTTACTCTGAAAGAACAGCAACCATGTCTTTGAAACGTAAACGTTTGTCTATTAAAGAGAAATTAAATATTGTCGCGGAAAGTGAAAAATATAACAGCAGTGCTCGAAAGTTGGCGGAAAAGTTTGGTGTTGGAAGAACGCAAGTGAACGACATTTTAAAAAACAAAGTGGAATTAAAAAAAATGTTTGAAGAAGAAGGATGCAATGCAGATAAAAAACGAAAGTTTCCTAAAACAGAAGGATTTGCAATCGATCAACTAGTTTACGAATGGTTTTGTAAGGCAAGGAACAAAAACATACCCATATCGGGAACCTTAATTCGGGAAAAAGCTCTTGAGGTATCTACATCCTTGAAACTTAGTGAATTTAAGGCTTCAACTGGCTGGTTAAATAAGTTTTGCAAGAGACATAATATTAACTTCAAAACAATTTGTGGTGAGTCTGCAGATGTGGATGAAGTGACTGTTGAAGACTGGAAAACAAAATTAACAGCAATCATTAAGGAATACGACACTAAAGACATTTTTAATGCAGACGAAACAGGGCTTTATTATATGGCAATGCCAAACAAAACCTTTGCTTTAAAGAATGATAAATGTGCTGGCAAAAAATCAGCTAAACAACGAGTGACACTGCTTTTCTGTTGCAGCATGCATGGTGAGAAGGAAAATCCGCTAGTTATAGGTAAGAGCAAAAACCCGAGATGTTTTAAAGGAGCGCATGTAGATAAATTGCCGATAGAATGGGTATCCAACAAAAAAGCTTGGATGACGACAGATATAATGACATCTTGGCTCAAAACCTTTGACACCAAAATGAAACGGCAGGGTAGAAAAGTTCTTTTATTTTTGGATAATGCCACGTCTCACCCAAAAATAGAACTTGAAAATGTTCGTATAATTTTTTTTCCTCCAAATACGACATCTCATTGCCAGCCGTTGGACCAAGGAATTATTCAAAATTTTAAATTAAAATATCGTCAATTTTTTATTAAAAGACTTTTGACTTTTACTAATACCGAAGAAACGATGGAAAAGGCTAAAGAGAGCATAAATTTGGCAAGTACTATGGTGTGGATAAGTACAGCATGGAAAAATGTTACATCGAACACTATAAAAAAATGTTTCCAAAAAGCGGGATTTGCAACCGTCAAAGGGGACGATGCATTTGACGAAGAGGACGACATTCCTTTAAGTCAGTTATCTTCAATTTTAAAAAACATGCCAGGAAGTCCAGATCTTAAAGAATATCTGACAGTCGATTCAGATGTCCCTACGGAAAATCCTAGTTTAGAGATGC